GGGGGGGGGGGGGGGGGGGGGGGGGGGGGGGGAAAGGAAACTGATTCGACTTGAGGTAGTGCGTCGGTGTTACAAACCATCACCCCCTTCTCCACAAGTCTACTTCCATCGCAGCTGTTCAAATTTCACAGTTATATGTCTTACAGTGTGCGCACGTCCATGTCAAGCACCGCGGAGGGACTTACTAACCGCCCTGTACTTCGAAAAATGTATCATTATTAGTGTAAGTTCGTGCGTCTAGGCCCAAATCCCATTGCCCAGAGGAGGAAACGTTTGTGTTGTACGGTGCGAAAGTGTAAAACGAAAGGGCGAGCTATGCCTTCCCCAATTCTTGCCTACGTATATGTAGGCTAGGTAGTGACAGTTACGAGGGCTGCTCTAAAAATTTATCTTCTCACCTTGTTACGTATTTTTTTATGTGATTGTTCTTGCAGTGTTAATGTAACTAAATTTCTCTTCATAGGTCAACTTTTAAGTCATTTCGATTATTGCTTGAAAAGAAATAGCCTGTGAAACTTTTGGAGTTCGGATTTTTTTATAAATGGAAATGGAAGTGACGAGAGCATTTTCGTACCGCTACCTTTTTTTTTTAAATTGTTGATCTGGAAGTAGTCGCCGGGTCGTTTACGTGTTGCTCTTTGGGGAACTTTTGCATCATATTCCACTGTCATTTGGCTTTTGAGAATTTTCTTTCGTGGGGGAGTTTCATTTCTTGATGAGACACTTTCTGGAAGTCCAGGAGAAATTTTTGACCCCAGCGAATGATGACCATGCAAAGAAATTGGTGATAGCCAGTCCTCGCAAAGCGTCAATACGCTCAACATTGGATCGGCCGCAGTTACTGTCATCATTCATGATCACCTGGGGTTATGGGACCACTTCTGTCGTTAGGTACCCAACAAAATTTACAGTGGTCCAGAAAGTGGCCAGGTGTGGTTGATGTCGTTTCATGCTTCAAGTGTCCAAATCTGGAAAGCCAAAAATTGGATCTGAAGTCGTGACAGGTGAAAAAACCTCAATGTATAACTATGATTCAGAATAAAAATGATAATCCTTAGTTTTGGCGCTTCCAAAAGAGGAGCCTCCAAAGGAGATTTGCCGCAGCAGGTGCTGTTTTCTTTCGGCGCCATGGCTTGGTGAAAGTGACGCACCTTCAAGAATGTACAACAATGAATGTTGATTGGTACTGCAAAGTTTGGCGACCTCAGGGGTTCCAGCTTTTGGAAGTCAGTGTCCACGGTCTGGTTTCTGGGGGGTTCAACTGCATCACGACCGAGAAAGTGCCCACACTGCAGCACAACATTTTGACGACTTGGCCAAAAAAGGTGTGCAGTTGGTCACTCATTCACCGTATTCCTCCGATCTGGTCCCATGTGACTTATCTGTCCCCAAAAGTCAATAGGGAGCTCAAATCAAATCTTTTCAAATATCAAATAGGGAGCTCAAATCTTTTCAATATCAACAAAAGGGACCCTTGCAGCACTTGAAGCTATCCTGAAAAAGTTGTCTCCATCTGATTGGTGCAGCTCGTTTCAGAAGTGGTATGGGAGGATGAAAAAATGTGTTTGGTCTCGTGGTAAATATCTGGAAAAGTTGTGAAAATTTTAATTGGTTTGGTTAGCAATAAAGGTTTCAGGCCAGAAACGTTTGGAGCAGCCCTCGTACCTCTCCCATGGGTACCCTCAACATTTCACAGGTTCTTCTCACCAGTTCATCCAAAACAAGAACATCCCGTTGTTACCCTGGGAAGATTCTCGATAAGCAGTGCTGTGCATGCTCAGGATGTACCATGGTTCTAAAATCGCACACTTGTTTTGTGCGTAGTTCTCGTCACTGCGACCGTCGTGCGTTTAAAGCATGGGTGCCCTAAGTGCGCCCCGTGGGCCTCATCCAGCCCACAAACTTCCTTAGAGAACATCCACTTTGGGCACCCTTCTTCCCTGGTTTAAGGAATCATCTAGCCTGCTTTCATGCCTCCCGCCTTTTCTCTCTTTTCTCTCCTTTTCCCCTCTCCTTTTTTTTCTACACACTCATTTTCTTCTCATTTTTCTTATTGGACGCTTGCTGCGAGTAGAGAAGAATAGCTAGAATGTGAATGGAAGAAGAGGGAAGTAAAAGGATTTGGAACGGAATTGCATGCTGGGTCCTTTTTCATCTCTCCCTCGCTTCATCTTCCTCCATTGGCAACATATGCATTGAAGTGCGAAAATATAGGAAGCACTGTCCAGTTGTAGAGATATAGCAAGTCCCGATCGATCCGACTCCTGCCTCCTGTATAAATTAAGTATATGTATTTACTTGTTGACACGGGCGAATGAACATGGGTGAATGTTACTGTGAAGTTTATGAAACGGTTCCAGGCAGGAGCATAGCCTATTAAATTCATTTATCGAGGAAGATTATTAATAGAGCCATGATCTCAAAGGTGGAGTTCAACGGGCTTAGAAAAGGAACAAAAAAACATGTATAGATACTCTAACAATACTCAATGTAATCCAGCGAATGACTGTTGAGTTTAAACTCTGATTAAATCTAATAATAATCTTACTCAAGTCTAAATCTAAGCCTACATCGGGTAAGTTAAAGATTAAGATTTAGCACAGCCGAGAAAAACGCATTACGTTTCAGACTTGAATGAGATTTAAATTTCTATTTAGAGTGAAGATGTCAGGAAGCTGGCCTCGTGAGCGGTTCACTCAAGATGCTTCATATGGGACCAGCTTCCGTCGCGTGTTCCAAGGGCTCATGCTTTTCAAGCGTAGAAAAAGCCGGAAATTTCGTCTATGATGGGAGAAGGGGACCTCAAGGAGTTTTCCACTAATCAGCACTCTAAGTTAGCCGTCAAATTTAATGTCAGTCTGTACTTTTTGTTGAATATACAAAAAGCAGTTCGTATCTTCAAGGAGAGAAGAACTTCTACGGAGCGAGGAATTTTCTCTCGCCCCGATTAGTCCATCATCATCATGATTATCAGCATAATTATCATGTAATCAGTCTCGGTGAGATCGAAGGAAAATGGGGATCATCTGGAAGTTTTCAGTGTCCTTGTTATGTTTCTCATTTTTATTTAATGAATTTCAACACGTTGCCATCTGAGAATGAATATTGCAGAAAGCGGAATCGACTACCGATGGTCCATCGCAGCACGACTTGGACAAGTTTTCAGGAGCGCGGACTGCCCTTGCCATGAATATTTGAAAGGAGACGGTAGCGGAAAACCCGATCGATGCAGGCCCAACGCCGGGGTCGAACGCGTTCCCTCATCAACGTGTTGTCACGTCGCCATAGAAACTCTAAGTGTTATGACGAAAGAAAGGACTTCCCAAGGAACCGTCCTAGGTATAACCGATCGAGACACGGTTGCGTCTCGGTTTCGTGCTCCTGTTCCCGTCTTCATTTGCGCCTCTGGTGATACCGTCATCCCCTTAAAATATAAAGCGAAGGAGAGTCTCGAAAAGTCTTTCGTTGGAGCTGGAGCTGGTTTCCTCATAGTTACAGGGATTTTTCTTTGACAATCCCAACTCCCAAAATCCCAGTCCCGTAGACATCGTATATTCTTATGCGTCTGTCGTCGAAAGAATCTCAACTGCATTCTCCGTTTCTAGTTGTCCCCTCATTATCTGGAGCTGAGCACGTTGATCACGGTGTGATGTGATGTGATACCGTGATGCTTTGTACTCGTCCGCTTCCCATCTTTCTTCTAGCCTTTGCAGGTAAGTGATTCTTCGTAAATTCCTTCCATCTTCAATTTGTTCATCACTTGTTTTTAAAACGAGTGACTGCTGATACCTTTTTTTTCTCATGTAAAAGCTGTCCTAGAATTCCTATCCCATTTTTTTTTAATGTATATTTTATTTCTAAAAGCTGAGGTGTAGGATGTAGGACAATCTCAGAACAAAAACCATAACCATAAACTAAAAAAATTAGAAACCTTTCGCGAAGAAAAAGATTTAAAATGTCAGGAATTCTGGGGCACCCTGTATTTCGCAGTTGAGAGACATGAACAAAGCACGACAGTGTGCATAGTTGGCTGTACTTCCCGCGAACACAGTTGAACTTATGATTCTTGCCTTTACGATAGTGTCAGAAGCACAGAAAAGTATGCAAATATAGGGTGTCCCACGAAATGTGAACACGTTTAATTTACGAATATTGTCAAAATGCATTTATGTAAGAATATGAAACAAGGAGTGTTACTAGCCTCATAGATATGAGATTTCACTTGTATGCTTAAGACACTGGGTTCCAGTCATTAGGCCTACTTCCAGAAAATGACATTTTTCAGATGAGATGCATTCCCCGCACCGTACTAGCACTTTGCGCACCACAGCAGAGAGAATCGCCTCTGGAATTTTTTCAATGAATGTGCGGATCGTTCTCCTTAATTCAACGGCTGTTCCGGGCCTTTCACGGTTCACGTGACCTCTTAGGCATCCCCAGAGAAAAAAGTCCGGAGCCGATAAATCGGGAGAACGTGCCGGCCACGGCAGTTTTCGACGATTCGCCGTAAAGTGCTTCCGCTGGGCGCATTTGGAGAACCTCTTTCACTTCTGAATGCTCGTTGCGCCGCTATGACAGAGCCGTGCTGGAAGTAAAGCTCCAGAATCTTCGTCCTTGATGCAATATCCCACTGAGCCCATTTCAAATGAAATTTTAAGGATCATTCAGTAGTCTGAAGAAAAAAAAAGAAAACCAAAAACATCGTTGTATTGCCAAAATTATTTAATAAACAGATGTGTTCACATTTCGTGGGACACCCTATATAATCCTGCATGAATCTTCATGGATGACTTACTACTCATGGAGAAACTTGGGGGGGGGGGGGGGTGCAGACTTTCCTTTCTGGCTCAAATTCATGTTTTCCAAGTCAAATATGGAAATATGAAAGTAAAAAACGTCATCGAGAGAAGGAAATGCGTCGCTCCGTTAGACACGAGGAAAGTGATACGCGTCAGTCGCATCCCACGCTCATGTCAGGCGACTGCCACGGAATTGCAATTCCATTATGCACGGCTGACATATGCAGATGCCTTTATGCATGCGCTCGGATGCAAATTGATGAGGCGCCAATATTGCGCTTAACTTCATTGGCAGCACTTGATGTCTGATCGCGTATAACTGCGTAGCTATCGATCGTTAGTATACCTCGTAATTATTCTTAGTTCGATTATGTGCGAGTGAAATGCGATCGACACTGTCCTGCGCGAGAGTCAAAAGCGCCATGAAAACGAAACGAGACAGGCCTGCTGGATGCTGGACTTTCAACATTTGTTCGTTAGGTCGTAAAGAAAATATTAAATGTGGCAGCCCCATGGCATGAAAGCTATCGCTTAGCCGTTTACGAGGGGCGGTCAATGAGTTTCAAGTATCGGCCCCACCCACATATCTTGGACTAATCTTACTATTGCCCTTTTCTTCAACAGGGATTCAGTGATTAATATGAATTTTCTTGGAATTTTTACCCATGATGCGGACTCGCGGTGCTCAAAAAAGGGGGGGTGATCGGGTAACTGAATTAGATCGTCGAGAAGGGACGAGCGTGCAATGATTTTGTGTTTTCGCCTGAGTGATCCAGCATCCCTGTGCCACAGCAAGCTAAAATAAGCATTTCGGGGACAAGCCCCATCCCTTCCAGTCTTGCATGAGCAGTATAGCCGTTTTCGAACCAGGCATTTCTGCCTTTCTGCGGAACAGGCGAAGGTTTTGCTCAGCAGTGAAGGAAGCTGTCAATTTGGCAAAGTGCACTGGAGCATTGTCATGGTGCAATTTCCAGTGACGCAACCCACTTTTGAGGCGCTTTTGGTGAAGTTTGGTGAAGTTCTTCAACAAGTTTTGAGTGGCACTTGACATACCATCTGACACTCACTGTTTCACCTTCATCGATGGGCGCAACCTTGAGTTTTATTTTCTACAGCAAAAAATGGCGACCATGACCTTCCCAACAGCTCTTTCACGACACAGTTTCAACGGAATGTTTTCTCCATCAAATTCCCACTCCTCAGGATCATAAAAAGTAGGTTTAAGTTTCATAACCTCTGACAATGTTTTTAACGCCTTTTGAGTCCCCTCCGCTTAATTCATGTAGCATTTAGCGGCAAAATTCGACATGAATCTGTTTTTGGGTAGCTGACAGTGCATGGGGAATTTATTGAGCACAATTTTTCCTGACTCCTAGGCACTCATAGTTAATTTTATGTACTGTCTCTTCAGACACCCCAATGGTCTTACGCTCGGACAGTAAACTTCCGTTCTCCATCCAGCACGTTCCGTACTTTTCGACATTTGCCTCAGTTGAAGCAAATTCAGGCCCACCCTCGCTTGAAGCGCCATCTAGGCAGAAATTCCTGGTTCGAAAAAAAGGTTATACCACACATGCACGACTGGGAGGGATGGGGCTTGCCCCCGAAAGGGTTATTATCGCTTGCTGTGGCACAGGGATGCTGGATAACCCAGGCGAAAGAAGCACAAAATCATTGCACGCTTGTCCCTCCTCGACAATTCTAATTCAGGTACCCGGTCACTACTCCTTTTTTGATCACCGTGAGTCTTTATTGCGGACAAAAATTATAAAAAAAAATTGTATTAATCACTGAAACCCTATTGAAGAAATAGACAATTATAAGATTAGTCCAAGTTTTGTGGGTGGGGCCGATTCTTAAAACTCATTGAACGCATCGTAATCTCACTCACTTCCGGACACAAGATACTATGTTAGTGCGAGCAGGAACCACTGGTTACATTTTTCAGGAGTGATCACGGCCTTGACTTCATGCCCCACCTCTGAAAGGATCTACAGACGGCATTTGTCACGGTCCATCCCCAACTCAGACTCTCGATCGCAATCGATAATTGCTATTTACTCTGCCAGGAGTTGCTTCGTGCAAATCGTGAAACGAGAAAGCGAACTCTTTCTCCCTTTCTTTCCCGTGATCTAATGATCTAATGAGCTGATTTAATTTTGTATTTGAATTTCCATCCCGATCTGACTTTCTTATGCCCACATTTGACTTGAGAATTTGATGTTTTACACTTTTTAAGAGATGGTCCAAAACGTTTCTCTCCTCCTCGGCCCCCCCCCCCCCCCCCCCCCCCCCCCCCCCCCTCNTGGTCCAAAACGTTTCTCTCCTCCTCGGTCCCTCCCCCCCCCCCCCCCCCCCCCCCCCCCCCCATTATTTTCGCGGTCGGAATCTGGCCTCCGACCCCCAAATCTTTGGTGGAAACCTAAGACCAACCTTCACGTATCGATGATAACGGATGATATTAACTTGAATTGTAGCGCCAGAAGCAAATGCTTCTGGAGCCGTATTGTAGTGGAAATGCAACTCTGTGGCAGTCTCCTGGCACGGGCGTGAGATACCACTGTCGCCTATCACTTTACTCAAGTCTAAAATGTTTTTCTTCTAAGTCCAATGTCCAGGGTAGCAACACATTTCATTTTCCTTACGTCGCTTTTTACGCTTCCACGCGACACAGGGACAATTTTGAATTTCCTTGTCGCATTTCACCATCTTAGTTCCATATTCGACTTGGAAACCTCCTTTTTAAAAATGGTTGAATTAATCCAACCCTTTTGGGAACCTTGGATAATTATCCAAGGTTCACATGAATCATCTATGTACCATCGCGACATGTCTCTGGATTTGAAGTGGAAAAATGCTCCATATTTTGTGTGGACAACCCGAATTCCGATTCGCTGATCCGCTGATCATTCAGACCTTCAGAAAAGCTTAAGAAATCAATTCATTAATATGCGACCAAAAATAGTTATGGCATAATATTAGAGGTATGAAAAAGGAATCTCTTGAATGAAAGCACCCGCCGCCTTCCTAGAGTCATGTTGGAGAGCGCCCATGTGAAAAACCTGGCGAGGATTGACCGCGTCCAGATTCCTTCAGCATTACGATTTTAGCTATTTCACCTAAACGCAATTTTCTAGTTGAATCACGGGGTAAATTATGGCAGATGTCTTCCTAGTTCACCTGATATGTCAGGTGCGGAGAAACATGAAGTTCGCACGATATGAGATGGAGATGAGCAATAAATAAATAAACAGGTGCATTTTTTTTTAGGCAGTGTCGACTTATACTGTAGAGCTTCCACTCAACACCCTTTCCCTTCCCCTCCCCGCGCTTCCACGGCCTTCGCCTTACTCGTCATCCTCCCACCAAAGCCCTGTGGCCAATTGAACAGCACAAGGTTTTGATCCTGCGGCATGCAGGTACGCACTCAAACGATGTGCGGGCACATATGCCAAAAAGACCACTCCTGCATAAGATCATTTTGCAAAATAAAAAAGAGCACCGTTCCAAATCCAATCCTTCAACACTGGTCATTTGTGGACCGGTCCAGATACATTTCAAATGAAACAGAAAAGGGGTGCCCAGAGCATCATGTGCAAAAATAACTTCAGTCCGTCTCTGCTCTGATTAAATCGGTTCAAAATCAATCGGTTCATTGCTCCACTCTAGAAGCATTTCTGCCGACGTGCGATACAGTAAAGTTCAGAAGGATTTTATTCTCCTGCTCTAGGACTAGCTCTGCGGTCAGCATCGGCGGAGGAGAATGGAGCAAGAGACGGAAATGGAAACTTGTGTTCAGGGAATAAGGTATGCAAGTTCCAATATGCGCGCAAATGCGAATGATGGGTGTGAATGCATGCTTTGCATGAGTTGAATGCGAGTGGAAAAGAGCTTTGCTGTAAATTAGAGTGACTTGGCTATTGTTCTTCCCCTGTGCACCGCAGGTTTTGTGTGCAGCACGAGGCCTATGCAACCCTCTAAGCATGGATGCCCTTCGCCGGCCATTTTTCAATGACCTTTCCCTCCTCGACTACCCTCAAATCAATTGTCCCCCTGGTTTCTACCTCGTTCTTGAAGTGGGAATCTGTTTGCCACTTGCGCAGCCCGAATTCTTTCACACAAAAGATAGCAATCCAAAGCTGATCGGAATACCAGAGTCTTGTCCTGAGGGAACAAGAATTTCAGAATCATATGGAAATCGGTGCTTGGTTCATGTTGATGGGATCATCCAAGATGAGGAAGATGCCATCATGTGCTCATATGGAACCACCTATTGCTTGGAGTCAAAAACCTGCATATCGTTCTGGGAATCGTGCCATAAGGGCCACGCTTATTTTGACGCCAGAAAAAATAATGAAGGGAAATTCCCAAGAAATGATGACGAAAATGAAGATCGAAGAGGATTCAAAAAGAGCCATACGCGTCGAGAGAGCAGAACAGATATATTATGTCCACCAGGTTTCATATACAATGCAGAGTGTGAATTTTGTTCCCAGCTAGATATGGAGTTTGAGGTCAGTGACTCAGAGTCGACACCAAACATTCCATTCTCACATCCAACAACCAGATCAACTGGAGGATTTCCTGGGTACACAACAAAACCAACCATACCATCCTCCAGCTCGACTAAATCGACGACAGGTTCCACTGACTCGACAAAGCAAACTACGAATACATCCTCCGGCTCCACCAGCAGATCGACTAACGGTGTAACTGGCTCGACAACGAAATCAACCACTCCATCCTCCAGCTCGACAACAAAACCATCCTCCAGCTCCACAACAAAACCATCCTCCGGCTCCACAACAAAGCCATCCTCTAGCTCCACAACCAGATCGACTAACGGTGTAACTGGCTCGACAACTAAATCAACCGCTCCATCCTTCAGCTCCACAACAAAGCCATCCACAGGCTCTACAACAAAGCCATCCTCCAGCTCCACAACAAAACCATCCTCAGGCTCCACAACAAAGCCATCCTCCGGCTCAACAACCAGATCGACTAACGGTGTAACTGGCTCGACAACGAAATCAACCGATCCATACATCAGCTCCACAACAAAGCCATCCACCGGCACCACAACCAGATCGACTACCGGTGTAACTGGCTCGACAACGAAATCAACCGCTCCATCCATCAGCTCCACAACAAAGCCATCCACAGGCTCCACAACAAAGCCATCCTCTGGCTCCACAACAAAGCCATCCTCCGGCTCCACAACAAAACCATCCTCCGGCTCCACAACCAGATCGACTACCGGTGTAACTGGCTCGACAACGAAACCAACCACTCCATCCCCAAGCTCGACAACAAAACCATCCACCGGCTCGACAACAAAGCCCTCCTCCGGCTCCACAACAAAACCATCCTCTATTTCCATAACCAGGTCGACTACAGGTGCCACGAGCTCGACAATTAAATCAACCACTCAATTCTTTAGCTCGACAACAAAACCAGCCACTCCATTCTCAAGCTCAACATTCAGATTAACGTCTGGTTCGACGAGAGCTGGGTCAAATATGCCTGGTTTTTCGACGACATCTCGCACTATTACCGAAACGACCAGAAAAGTAACAGGGTCATCAAACATGATTCCTCAACCGACGAAGCCAACTTGGACTGATGGTTCTTCTCGCACAACATGGAATCATCATTATCCCACATTCAATCCCCCCCATGGAAAGGGAGGGATACAATGTAGCTATGGTGAGGTCTATTCGATGGAGAAGGGGGTTTGTGTGCCGCTTTTTGGGTGTGCGATTGAGAGATCCTGTTTGAAGGGAGTATCCAGATATCCCCATCCTCGCCTTTACCCCTACCATTCAAATTGCATGAACCCTAACTTCCCTGCAGGTCCAACCTGTGTAAGTATGCTTATCTTCATCTTGTCATTTGTTTTCTTGTTTTTTTTTTCTGCGTCTTTGTTCTGTTATGCCTCATGGCTGTCTTTGTAGCCATGTCGGTCCTTCTGCTCTCAGTTAGTGCCTATTGCTTCCCTCATTCTCCTGCAGATGTATTGTTCACGGACTCAAAGTTGTGTGTCGATCGAGGACGAGTGTGTGGCACCAGCTGGCACTGGAAATGGCATCATCTGCCCTCCTGGAATGGTCAGTCTCAGCCCATCCGCATGCGTAAAGCATTTCTTTTTAATTTACGGGGAATCTAGAGGAATTTCTCCTGCCAGAACTCTTTCCAAAGTCCAGTTTCTGTCCTCCCTTCCCCCCAGCTCCCTCTTGACCAGATTCTCATTTCCCTGCTTTAGTCCTCTACTGAGCAACGATTAGATTCAGTGATTCATTGGTGTGACCATTCGTTATTGACCGCCAGACGATTTTTCCACGTCGCACATCTCGAAATTCTGAAGTTCTTGGATATGTTGGAAGCGATACTCTGATTCGTGTATCGCGAAGAAAAGAAAAGAGGCAAACTTTAAACATATACAGGTTGTATTTCTTAAAAGTGTCCTCTTTTCCAGGCTGCAGCATTACCGCCCTCTCTGTAAGTCCACTTGCGTAAAGGCGGGTAGGAATATGGTACTTATGCAGCCAACAAACAGTGCCAAATAATGTGTAATTTGACTAACAACGCAACTAAGCATGACGCGAAGGTTTTATACAGCCGGTCTGCTGCTCAGGTACTCTCTTAAGTGAAATATTTTAAAACGTTGACTCTTGTAGATTGCCTCAGATATGCTGAGACATCTGTGAGATTCGCAAAGGACCGATATTACGGGGGTTATTTCAAGAGCTCGAAGCCTTCTTCGTCAAAATCACTCAAAAATAATTTTTTTCTGATTGTTAGTACCCTACCAATGACATCGCAATTCCATGTCACAGTTCTGGCGATATTCGAATATCTTGGAGTTTTTTTTTAAGCTCTCTCTTTTGCATCTGCAGCGTCTCTTGTTTCATCCAAGTTTGGGGTTCTGTTCCCTTGTAGTGATTCCATGAATTTCTGAAATATATTTCTATCTCGGTGACTAATTTAAACTTAAGCATGTTACTTCGAGTGAAAAAAAAGTTAAATCTAAAATCTTTACCTACTAGAGCAACTAGGTTCATTAAAGATGTACCGAGAGAGAGGTACCCTCAAAACTTTTGAAATGCTCGTAAATTGGGGCCCGGCTGGGCGGAGATTTTGGAGCCTAGTCCATCCTGCGCATGACACTCTCATCACCGTCACCTTCACACTGCACGGAAAAGCTGAAAATGACATGGAATTTGTGAGTACTTGTTTTGTGTGGCGAAAGTGATATGCATGGGAATTTATGCCTGACAATCGTACAGCGAAGACTTGAATCGCTCAAAATATAATTCCATCAATGTCAATCCTTTTCCCTCTCCTCTCAAATGGTTTTAGCATTGCTGATAAAATATGTTGGTAAAGTTTGCAGGTCAAAATAGTTGCAGAAATGTGCATTTTTGTAATTTATTTATTTATTCGCGGATAAGCTTCCCACGTATAGGGGTGTCACACTGCCTATCTTAGTAGATATGTGGAAAGGCATTAACATTTGGCCAGACTTGCGCTTCGTGGCAGCTTGGTTAATGATAGTGTTGGAAGTTACAGATCATAAGGAAAAAGAAAGAACTGGGGGCCCGTGACCCTTTCTGAGCAAGTGCGCTATTTTCGTGCATGCATAATAATGATAATGAATTGCGGGAAGGGAAGGGAAGGTGGGGGCGGGTGGGGGGGGGGGAGGGGGGAAGAAAAAATCACAGGCGCTGTTCTCTTGGCCTTACGACACTGAAGCTCATCATCATCAACGAACCATGATGAATATTGGATGAAGATCTGGCCGATGTGGAAACCGTGGAAATTGTTTCCAACACTTCTACATCATGGTTATGCTTTTGACAAGATAAGAGCAGTTTTGGAGCAGTGGTTATTTTCTGTATTGCAGTTGTACTGCCAAGCGACAGGACGATGCATCCCAGCGAATCTTGACTGCCTGGATGATCAGGAAGACCCCGCGACAGAATTTCCATGTCCCCCCGATAAGGTGATGGAAAATTTCTGTTTCAGCCTGGATTGTGTTATTCTTTGAAAACAATATTCTTTCCTATTCAGGTGTATTGCATGGCTCTTGAGAGATGCATCCCACATGAGAGCCCTTGTTCCGAACACGATACAGATACAGAACCAAGCACGTTTCTTGATTCCTGTCCAGCTGGAGAGGTAACTTGAACCACTTGGAATTGGAACCTTGCCTCTTATTCCTGGAAGGACGTTGATTATCTTTTTCTTTTCCAGGTATATTGCGTGGAGGAAGAAAGCTGTATCCCAGCTGATGCCTCTTGTGGTGAGCAAAAAGGCAAAAGTAGGATCACCACCAGCTCTTGCCCAATTGGCACGGTAAGGGGAATTCATGATGTGTGGAACGATTTTTCTGTCTGGTCTGTCAAATAATCATTTCGGCTCTCCTTTGTAGCTTTACTGTATGGAGAGGGGATCATGCATTCCCTTGTATTTGCCAAGCTACTTCGAGACCGAGAAAAACAAGGAAAAGGCCTTTTCCTGCTCGTCCGGGAAGGTAAGTCTAAGCAGAAAATCTATGTAACACCACTTTCTGTGTGCTTGTTTGTTTATCCTGGAATTCCTTCTCTACCGCTGATCGGATCCGAGCAAAACTCCCGAGTGCAAACCTCGGCGTTTTCGGGAAGAGATATCCATTTGTCCCCACACTTCATTCTCGAGATGTTGGACGTTAAAGAAATACACCCCAGGGGCCTATTCCACAAAAGATTTACTAGTTACAAGCTACAAGTTACAAGTAATTGCAAGGGTCGTGTCTTCTTTTTCAGCTCTTCTAGCTGGTCCCATTGACACTTTACGCGATCAAGGCATGACCCTTGCAACTACTTGTAACTTGTAGCTTGTAACTTGTAAATCTTCTGTGGAATAGGCCCCAGGTGGTGAAGGCAGAACCCGGTCAAATATCCTCGGACGTAACCACGAGCGCCAAAGAGAGTCTCCCAAGGATGAAAGTTTCAAACAAAGTTACTGTGGGGTTAGGGCTTAGAGGGAGAGATGGTTAACACTCTGAGGCCTGGCAATTTGAATGCGGTATGGGCGTAGGACGTCATATGACGGCTGTAGGACTCAAAGTGTTAAATGGGATTCCAGAGTGAAGGCATATTTCATGAACGTTGGGCCTTTTACACCTCGCAACTATAGTATCGTATGCTACTGCGCCCCTCTCAAGCACCATTGCAGATGCACGTGAGCAAAGGTAAAGATCGCATGATCACCCGTTGTAAATGCGATAGGAACAGTGGTTAAAGTTAGCAGGAATGTCGTACCCGCAGAGGGGTGAAAAGGAATGGGAGGATGGGATAGGGATGGGAGCAGGTGGTTCATCCATTCTCCCTTCTTTGATACAGAAATGCATTGAGCTCAGGTTGGAAGGTGAAGCCATTTCAAATTCGGTCCTTTCATTGGCTACTGGCTAGTCGAAATTAGAATTTTCTTCCTTTTGATCCTTCTCACATGTGCGATCAATGACTATATGAATTATAAGTGGGATTGGTGGGTGTCCCGGTGTATTGCGTAGCAGAAGTTCATCGTGTTGTGTGAATGCCGATTTCCCCATCGTCAAGCCGAGACGAGACTAAAAACCTCGTTTCTTCATGCTTAGCATGCTAACACCACGGATAGTCACTTTTTCTTCGTAAGACCACCGAACGATTTTTCCAGGCAAAACTAACTCTTGGCTTTTTCTTCGATCGGCCTTTAGGTGTATTGCCAGGCGTCTGGGAAGTGCGTGGAGATTGGGGAGGAATGCATGTTCAACGAGGGAGACAACAATGTCTGCGCGCCTGGGATGGTTCGCATTCGAATTTACTCAGAAGTCTTTGCACATGTCTTGAAATCCCTCATTCCTGAATACGAGATGCTCACGTTTCCAGGTCTACTGCTCTGTGAGCGAGACGTGCGTGGAGCCAGATTTTCCGTGTGAAGACATGGATGAATCCGATGGGGACACGGATGAATCCGATGAAAAACTGGATGCATGCCCTCTGAACCATGTGTGGAATGCAGAATGTGAAGCCTGCACTCCCATGAATTTAACAACGAGAGATCAATGCGACTTGGTCCAGGGAATCTCATTCGGCGCAGACTGTCTCGAATCCGATCAGTGTCCTGATGGGGCAATTTGCTGCCCCACCGGTAGGTCTCCTTGTTCTCCTCTCGTATTTTCTAAAGAGGAACTCAACGTTACAAATTGCAAACTGTTCGTTCCGGAATGGACGCGGTGAAGGGTCGAAAGGCTTCACGTGCATCGGGAAAGACGGTAAACCGACGGGGCCATCTCAAAATTCGACGAATTGCGAGACAGAGTATTTTCAGCCCACCGGCGCCGTCTGCAATTCAAAGTCCGATTGCCAAAATTTGGAGTTTTGCTGCCGAGGATTCTGCTACGTTTCCCGGGTCGTCCATCTTCTCGGCTCCTCCCCTTCCACTTCCTCTCATCGCCGCAGGGAATGCTCCACACACGAACAGTACGACTTCTGCTCGATCGTTACGTGACGACACAGTCGAAATGACGACCTCGTTTCAACCTCTGCATTTACATATCTCCAGGTACTGCAGTCTGTCGGAGAGATGCCAGAGTGTTACATCCACGTGTGGGGAACCCTGCATTCCCACCACAGTTCTCTGCAAGCCCAATGCCATGTGTGCCCTCGAGGCTGCTTGCCCCATGAAAGGTAACGTCATCAATCGATAGAAAGGCAAATGAATGTGGACTCATTCGAATCTGGAAGATCTCAACATTCGTTCGGCTTTTTTCATTCTGACCCTCAGATCGGCTGCAAGAGATGTTTTGGTTCGCTCCGCTTAGCGTGCAAGGGAGTAACTTAAAGTTCCGACTCTCTGATGTGTATGTGTCTCTCCCTGTAGTCCGCAGAATAGCGACAACTCGCAACTTGCCTGTGAGCAGTTCAAGTTGAAACTTCTCGGAAGAGGTTAAGTATTTCGAGTCAACTATTTCTATGCTCCCTTTGGTCTCAGTCTTTCAGGGTGACAGGCATGAACAGCAATAACTGGAAAAAAGAAGATGGCTCACAAGTGGGGATCAATGACACCTTGAGTCCTGGAGATAACTTAGTACTGAATGGAAGCCAGCCAGGCGTATACCGTTTGGATCTTTTGGACACGACCAGTAAGACCCTTTTTTTTTTCTCTCACCCTCAATTGATCCATCAAGTATAGAAATGTGATTTCCTATCATTTCCCATCGTTCTCGTTTTTAGCGATCCATCTTTGAAATGAATGCTCCCCACGCAATATCTTGGACGTCTGTGCCAACCTTTCGCTTAAATACGATTTCTCCCGACTTTACTAAAGTTTTACAACAGCTCTCAAACGCGGCAAACTTGACATTATTTGATTTAGTTAATTTTCAACCGATTAGAAAATTAATGCAAAAACTGATGAACTGATTTTAAAAAGGACGGAGTGGAGTGAATGGTTTATTCTATTTCTTTCTTTTTCGCTTCAATGACCAAACTTCCCTACCCGTACCGTCTATCCCTGAGGAATCTCTTTCGTTATTTTGATCATGGATCACAGTGGCTCCCTAGAGGATTGGGATTTAGCCAGTTTGTTTCTTTCTACGCTGCACCGTATGACATGTAAATACGTGATGCCTAGGAAGCCAAGTTCTGATTTTTATGATGCAGCCGAGACACCCGTAGCGAGGACCATCGTGGCCGTGGTTCTCCCGAGCGGGGGAGCCCTCGTCATGAATGCTCCGGAGGTTCTCACGGCCCCAGAAGACAGTGCTGCAACTTTCAGTATTAGCGACAGTTTCAGTGTCGCCTGGCAAGGAATCGACAGGTCCCCCTCGAAACTCCAGAACTTCCAGACTCGTGAGTCCCTATGAGCATGTGTATGCGTTCTTTCGGTGGTTCGACGTTGAGAGTGTTCGAAGCTAACGAGAGCATAAAACGATCTTCGATGCAGTCCGCCAGGAGTTACAGGGCATGGTGAAGCAGATAGGGAGCCTGGAAGGAATAAAGGCATATCACATCGTAGCAGCTGCCCTCGACCTGCCCCTTCGGCTCGGTCTCGTCGTGGAGTTCAAAGACAAACCCAACACGAGATCCGAAATCCTTGGCCAGCTCGAGGTGTTCCATCCCGAAGACAGGAGGTGATGAGTCGCGATTGTCTTTTTCTCCCGTCTTATACCTTTGCGGAAAATTTTCTCAAAAAGACGAACCTATTCGCGATTATTTGAGTTAGAAATGGTGGTTCGAAATTCCCTCTTCTAAAGAAAAATGAATAGCTTTCGATTCTCGAGTCTGATACATTTGTGCAAAAATAAGATAAGAACCCCTCATGGAAATGACTGCATCTCGAAGCCCTTTACAGGAGTTGGTGTCAGTTCTTGGTGATCTCCCCTTCGTTGCTGAAACGGTGCTGCGATTATAGTTATTTGAGGTTTAAATATCAACTTCGGAAGGGACATTTCCTTGACAATTTGCGATGGAACGGGCTTTTCATATATAATTTGTGGAGTTACGTATTGAATATATAATACATGTAGACATATGAATGTGACGATTATTACGACCAAACAAGGTATTATTCCTGGATTTTCACTGGATCAGTAAAAATCTGAATGTCAGTTTCCTTGGAAAAAAAAAAAGAATCTTGGGGAACAAACTGTCCAATGGTTTTAGATGGGAAGTAATTGGCCCGAGGGATTCCGCATTGGTGAAGACGAGTCAGGGATCCTTGATGCGATTTAAACCCAACGGCAACTTCCATGGAGAGGTCACGTTCCTCGTACGACCGTTCAGTCAAATTGACGAGCTCACCTGGTTCGGAGATTCCAAGGAGGTTCTTCTCAAGGTCAGTCTCTGGAATCAATTAATCTTTCTCGCCGTTTCAATTTTCAATGCTAAAGTGCTTAAGACCATTTCTTGAGCGCACCACCTTTCTGGTCGGCTGCTTGTTTTCTTTTTTCCCAAACCGTTGTCACGAACTTTCTTGCATTTACCCTTTCCTGCAAAAAGATCGAGTCCTTGAACGATGCACCAAAGTCGAAGCTGACCTTCAATCCGTTGGAATTTCCATCGATGCCCCTACAAGGACCCGATCCTGGAATGTATGTCCGGGATGTGGTCTCCGTCTTCTACGAAGATCCAGACGGAGACGATCTCGGCATGTCCATCCTGTACGCGGATGTATCCAGCCTCGGTCGATGGCAATATTCCCCCGATAACGGAAACGCTTGGAATAACATCGCACTGTCAGACCATGTTCATCCCGTGCCGGAGAAGCTCCAGATATCTCCAAGCTACTTGGGTCCGGTAAAGGCGGTGGACGTCATCCGTAATACCATCTGTGACACGACCGCGCAAACACCAGAAGTGGATGTATTCTCTCAGAACCTGAAATGTATGAACCTTTACGGGGATTCTGATCGCCTGTCGGAAGCCTATATGTCGTTCCAACAACAAAATGCGGGGCTTCAGGCCACATCGGCCGTATTTCCTCTCGGCACTGGAAACGTTGCCTTGAAATTCAACACCACTACCGCCTTGTTGCTCGGTCCGAAGTATAAAATCCGATTCAATCCAAACCAACAAATGGAATGGTCACTTTCGGAAGCGATGAGAAAGGCTCGAATCGCCTTCACCGCGTGGGATATGACTGATGGAAGGAAACCCGGAGGCACCATCCAGATGGAAATCCCCGTCTGCGTCACGGTGAGTCTGCAAGTTTCCGTATTTTGCCGTCTCCCCTCGGAACGATAAGAGAATCTAATGTGGTCGGACGGTCGAACAGAATTGCGGAAAATCTGGGAGTCTGTCGGCCGACATCACGGTAGCATACGCACGGCAGCGAGATTGCACTGGCGGGCCTTCCGTCGGAACTCCGCTGGCCGTAGACCAATGTGGAGTCTGTGGAGGGGATGGAACCTCGTGCCTGGACTGCAATGGGAAGCCTTCCGGAGGTCTCAGCTTTTTCCTTCGGGTTTCTTTCTTCACGCACGGCATGAGGAATTCACGTCCCGTTGACATTAACGCGATCACGTAGGTGCAATCTGGAGGTGTGGTACGTGCGTGGGAGCGGGTGTAGGGTCGGATGCGGAGGAAGCCTTGTTGGATTGTGCAGGGGAATGCATCTTGGGTAGAAAGCCTCAAAACGAAATCATCCAGAAGGCAAATCTCTCCATCTGCATCCCCACCTCCATGAACCAGTCCTTCACCTTCTGCGACGGTTCCTCGAATTCTGGCGCTTTCATCGACATGTTTGTTTTTCTTCTTCCTTTTCTTGTCTTCCATGTCTCATCGATCGAGGAGGTCTTGACCTAACCCTCCGTTCTAGATGCGGAGACTGCAAGAGCCGGGGTGTCGAACCGGTGATGGCTTGCAGCAAAATCTGTTCTGTAAATGGCAGTTCTCTCTGTGTTGGTTGCAACGGCGAGCCTCTCTCCGGCTGGGAAACGGATATGTGTGGCAAATGTCACAGTCCAGAAAGTCCGGGCGTCAACGGTATGTCATCTTGCATGTAGTGTGGGCATTTTATTCTTTCAGTTACAGGGATCATCTTTGAAAACGGAAACTCATTTTGTTGAACTGCCAGGAAATGGAAAATTTCAGACCTTTCTTAACATGGGATCTTTGAAAGATTTCCCATTATCTCCAGAGAATGCGCGCTGCTGCACACGGCCCACAAAACTTTTTTTTATTAAATGGGCTAACTTATACAGATGACTCTGCTGAATTTATTTTGGGCAAGGACCGAAGAGGCTGTATGAGGCCAATTCACTTTGTAGTGCCATTTGCATTCATATTCTGACATTCTGTAACAGTGTAGACTTTACTTCGACATGACTTTCAGTTGAAAGTATGGGAGGAAACTAATGATTCTGTTTGCTTTTCCTGAGAAATGAAGAAGAGATGTGTTGAGACAAGAGAGCTTTTTTGGTCAAAGGACTGGTATATGCTAGAATGTCCTACAGCAAAATAACCAAGAAGAATGAGTCACAGAGACTCGAGAGGTGCAGAGCTTTGAGATCTGAACAAAGGACATCTAGTCACATCGCCTGGAAAAAACCTCCGGATCCAGAGTTTCTAAAAGATATGGTCACCTCTGATGAAACCTTTAAACATCCCGCTTGCCTCTAACCCATTTTACAGCTCCATTCTTTTACGTTGTTGATTTTATGCTGTTGCTTTTTTGCATATGACAATTACTATCTATTATTATTTTAATTTTTTTCCCTGCTGTATCGGCCAGATTGCGTGAGTATTTGGGACTGGACTCCGCATGCATTCGACCGAGCCATGTATGCACTCTCCGACGTGGACCCTCAATTGATCCTAATTGGAGCCGGACTCAGTCGTAACTCCTTCCTCAAGGCCGACTGCTACTTGAAACACGAAAGCGGAACGGTGAGAAAGAACGAAGTTGTATTATTCAGTCTTTAACTGTTTGTGCCAATGGCGCCTTTGAAGAAAAGATTTCTTTCCTCGTTCGGTTTTCGTAGATAGTGGACGTGAAAGGAAGCGAAGTGTACACAGGAAAGATCTTGATCAAGCTGAAGGCCTTCAACGACTCCTGGCCTTTATTGGGAGGGTATGGGATCCATTGCGTGTTGAAGAGAGTTGGGAAGGAAGTGGAATTGGATGGGAACCCGAGTCGATGGCTGGACGTGGTGGACAGCCGAAACCTTGCGACCACGAGCATCTCTCCTTCCTCTCCCGTCGTCGGATCTTCTTTTGAGGTTCCCATTAAGAAAAAGAGTCATAGGTCATTGTGTTTCAGGGTTTTTCGAGTCTTGGACTCTCTTGCAGCTCGTGGCGAAAAGCTCGGGGCAGGTAAAGAGGGACTACGGAGGCTCCTGTTTCCTTTTCTTGGAATCCACCGGCGAGATATTCTCAACTCCCAGTGTACTTGGTCCAGATGGACAATCATTCAAATGTAATGCGACGTTTGGACGAGTCGTGAAACTCAAAGTTGGCTTTTCCTTCTTGGCTGGCAGCGAGCCATTCCTCCTCGGGTATGCACATCCCACCCCTCTTCCCCCTCCAAGTGTAACGTGCGGAGTTTGACATGAAATCTGAAATTGCTTCCATTTCCAGCGCCTCGATGAAAGAAGTGACAATCAAAGACTCGAACCCGGTCGCTCCGGGAATCACGTATTCCGAAGACTTGAGGAAAATCTTCATCGTCTTCGACCGGAACGTCAAGGCTATTTCGGGGACGAACGAAAATTTTTGCGCCCGTCTAGTCAGCGGACAGAATTGGTTGTCGGGTTGGAATTGCGAGATAGTTGGGAATCTGTTGGAATTGGAGGGGAACGTGAGTACGTTGACCCAGAAAGTGAGTTTGAATTTGGGTGCGGCTGGTGGACTCCAGAGAGCCGGATCTCTTCCCCAATTGGCTGCCGCACTCAACATGACTGTCACTGTCACTCCACCCACAGCAGCGAACTATCTCGTGAGTTCCTCTTTCGTTTTGAGTGGGTCTCTTCGATGGCGAAAGATACTAGGGTAAAACAGCCAAACTCGATTATCTGAAGGTTGCGTCGAACGTACAAACCATAAAATCGAATGAACGAACGATTTTGGGCGAACGAATTCACATCAAGGTTCGACTTAACCTTTAGATGTTCTAATTTTGTCGTTTGCTCTACTTGTGGTCTTCACGTGGGAGTATTACCTCGTGCGTAACTTGGATATCTTCAGATCATCCCCGATATCCAACTTTCGGGAGGAGGGAAATTGTGTGGCTCTGGCGCCAGCAGTTTCTTCGTCATGTCGACATCGGGTGAAGCTGGGGGAAGTCTGGAATTCACTTGGAACATTTCCGTCGCCAATCAGGATAAATTGGACGCTGGGACCATTCAAACGGCTGCGACGGCGATCCAAGGACTCAATCTTCCCCGCCTTCCTACGTCCACTCGTCAAATTACATTCCAGACCGACAACGTGAGGATAACGTTAGGGAACGATGTATTCCTGTCGTGTAGGAAACTAGGGGGCCTAAAGCCTGGGTTTGCTTCGTGAATTCAGTTTCCGAGTGCGAGTGGAAATGGGAATGCGACAGTGGTGGAATATCAAGTGGCAGTGACTGCCAGGAATTGGATCGGTCATCAAAACACCCTGCTCAGGGGTTTCACCCTTCTACCTCAGAACAATATGGGAATCTCCGCCTTCATTCGTGGCCCTTCGAATATCCTTGCAGATGGCATTTACAATTACGAAATGTTGGCCTCGTCTTGCCAAGGACCTAATGCCAGCGTGACCTTTTCGGTAGCTTCTTCCTTCTTTCCGATGAAAGTCAACCTCGCCTACGTGTGTTGACTTGGATGATTCTGTTCTGTTGTCGCTCAAGTATTTCTGGTCCTTGGACGGGATCGGAGAGGAGGTGCTGACGAGTACATCGGGGAATCGAGTTTCATTGAAAAAAGACGTTCTCCTCCCAGGTCGGACTTACACCTTGAGATGTTTGGCCGTCTCGGATGATACCTTAGGTCTTGCCACCCAAGTGAGTTATCTTTACAAGGATTCCGTAATGCCTCTTTCAAGGTAGATGCAGTTTTAAGCTTAACGTCTTTCGTGGTCCTTCGATCTGTGCAGGCGATTTTGATGTTGAACGTGCAAAGAGGTCGGATCCCGATGGACTGGGCGGAAGGAAATTCCTGGATGGATGTGTTGCCAGAAGCTCGAATGGGAGCCAAGGGATACCAGATGCTCTTGAAGGCATTCCCCTCCCAGTCTGAGGCAACGTGGACCTGTGGGAAGATCACGGACCAGGCCACCCTCCCCTGTCTTGTCGGCCCTAACCTGGAAAGACTAGAGAATCATTGGAGGCAAGATTTCTCCATTCTTTCTGCTACTTCTGTCCGACTCCCAATCGGGATGTGAGTTTCTCCCCAACCCCCCTTCTACGGTTCATCTCAATCGATCAGATCATCATCTTCTCCCGGTTCTCCGTCATGTAGCTATGAATTGGGATGGACGGGAAAAGAAGATTCTAATGAGGAATATCGAATGAGATGGAAATACGTGCAAGAGGATTCGATACCCGAAATCACCGTGCCGGCTCTATTCTATCGACTAGACATTGGAAATGACTTGGTGATCCGTGCCAGCATCAGCAGCTCTTCTTCCCTCTTTGCCTACTGGGAGGCACTTCAGAGACCCGGTATGAACAACAGCACCAGTGCCATGGAATTTCAGTTTTCACCAGAAACGAGGTTGAACAACGCAATAACGTAACGTAGCGGGTGATCGTAACTTCATGTTTACGACAATATTTATACCAGAACAGGATGAAATGTAAAAGTAACGATAATAATTTGTCGATGACATTATGTTGCACTATTTCACTTTACTAATTTAATTAAACGCATTCTTTAATCCTTTATTTGGCAATGGTAAAAATAATGCTAGATCGGACTCCAGTATGAGGTCCGAAGGGGCCTGAGTCGAGATGCCTGATTTGATTTTCACTAGAGTTTCTGTTTTCACCGAAAAAATCTTTGTGGAGAGGGAATCCTCATTATTTCCCTATCCTTCAATACATGAGGTTAAATTTTTTTCCAGCAACACTTGGCTGCTGCTTAGTGGTTGAAATAGCCTGTTTGGACTTGAGGACAAATGTTCATACATGTTCATTAATGTTGACTAATTGGATTTCCCTCCTTCCTTCTGCTTGCAGTCGACAAGTAACAATAAGTAGCATAACTAAAATACTTTAAATTACACGACGTACACTCAGACGAATACTCGAAAATCTTCCGTAAATCATTATGTGTGACTGAGAGATGTTCATGGCACATCTCTCGGTCACACTCAATGGCAAATCGGTAAGGAGGAGAAATGTCAATGTTGTGACGTTGAAAGGTTTCCAGATCGCCCGCGAGACTTATCTACAACCTTACTGGAAAGTTCTCTCGCCGGTTCCCTCATAGCATGTCAAACCCATCTAAGCTTGACACAATACTAGACGCTTATCGTTGACGCAAGTAATTGACCTTCAATCAATGGTCTCAGCGGGGAATTAGAGTTGTAGCCGAATGGCTCGTACCAAATGGTAGATCTTTGCCGATCGGCTTATTTTAGCCATTAAGGTGGTTTCCTCTCATCCACTCTTACTCCGACTCATATCTCCGTCGGCTGTGTATGCATAGATACATGACTGAGTTGCTGACTTCTCTCGATCGTCAGGTTTCGGGTACTTGGACGTGTCGCTGTTGAAGCCGAAGCAGTCGTTTTTGATGGCTTCATCGTCTCGGGAATTCAATTTGGTGATCTCAGGGAACATGGCGAACGACTTGGCATGGAACACCCCATATCTCTTCCGTTTACATGCAATCCGAGACGGGAAAGAGGCTTACCTCGACGTCCTCGTCGTCACGAATGCCCCTCCCCAATACGGCAGCTTTCGCGTCGGTCCTCCTTTCTCCTCCTCCTCTTCTTTTGTTAGTCTTGGTATTTATTCTGAGACGATGGTATCAGGTGGCACCGGTGGAAGGCAAAGCTCTGGTGACCAACTTCCAGTTCACCGTGGACAAGGATTGGCTGGATTTTTCGTGGGACATGCCATTCTCCTATCGGTTCGGATATGTGTGGGACTCAACGGAGCCTCCTAAGTGGTTCGGGAATACTCCTCTTTCCGTCCCCGTGCTGGAGACGACCTTACCCGGAGGTACCAACCTTCACCTGTCCCCTTTACCTTGTGCATCGCGACGCCCTCAATTCACTCTCTCTGTCTTGGAATCCTGAAGATCCGAAGAAACCGAATTTGATCCCCGTGATGGAAGTATGCGATGCCCATTCGGCGTGCCAGGTTACATTCGGCTCTCCCATCCAACTCGGGATCCCCACCTCCCTCTCCCTGGCTCAACTCAGGTCTCTCTCGTCTATTTTCTGATTTAGTTTCACTTTCTCCCTTATTTAAAGATAGACCTTCCGAAAATAGGAGGTGCAAGGCCCATCTCGCTCTCCAGAGAGATTACTAAGCTAAGATTACTCATCTGTTACCAAAGAATTAAGCTCCCATTCATTCCTCGTTTTAAAAAAATAAAAAGTTCCAGGTGCACGATGAAGATGAATGAAAAGACAGCAACAATCTTCTTTTGCATGGCCCGTCGCTAACTGCTTCCAAAGGAAAATGAAAGTGACCCTCTCGGTTTCTTTTTTTCCCCTCCGTGTTTTTTGCTTGAAAGTGGAATGAAAATATCAAAATGTGTGATTTCCTCTATTATCTTCGACTAAAATGAAATTGAACTTTTCTATTTGAAAAAGTGACTTGACGAACCAGATGCAGGAAATGAGATCCGAAGACCCATTCGCAGCTCTTAGCCTTGGAAGGAGCCTTCTCAATACCCTTAGGCAAATGAACAGTAGTCCAGAAGCCATTCAGTCGATGGAAGCCCTCGTCCAAGAAGGTCTTCGTTCCTCTCTTCAGGACTTTAAGCTTCGGTCAATCCTTTTCATCCTTTTCCACTCTCTGCCGAATGAGGAAAGCTCTTCAATTCCATAAGGAACATTTTATTTTCCTGCTGCTACTTCTTTAGACTGATGGGAAATCCAAAGACTCTGGATACTGGGATCAATTTCTTGGGAGAAACATCCAGTACCGTTCGAGACATGAAGTTTGTTGACAATTCAACCAGGGACGAGATAGGAAGTCTCTTGAGCGTGATCACCGAGAATTTGATGGCTCCTCAGACACAGAATCTCGTGGCAGTCGGTGAGAAACCAACTCTCTTATCTCAGATATGAATTTCCATCGTTTCTGGTCACTTCTTCCTGTCGACGTGTGTGAATGGTTATTGTGTATTTCAGAAGGGTCGGTCGGGGAGCTCTTGACCAGTGCCAGTTCCAGACGCAAGAGGGTAAGATGATCAGGGGTCTGTCACAAACCGATAGAAAGATTGCAGACTCAAGAGCTTTCATCTGGGGATCTTCTTTCTTACCTAGATGGTAAAGAGAGAAGTGAGAACGTCGACTGAGAGCAGTTGGGCGAAGTACCTTCCGGACTTCGTCATAGGAACGAACAATCGAGAAAAGAGAGCGAGCGGGGAACTCCTGTCCTCCGGGTCGTTGGCCTCAACGGCTGATTATTTCACTTCCTCCAAGCCCTTCACCATTGAAAATGTTCGTGTATTTTCTCTTCGATGACCCAACCTATGTTTCGTCCATTGTTGGAACTACCTTGAGAGTATTGATTCGTAGGCGAAGATATTCCTGTCGGCAGCGGAGCTGACGAACATGAAGCCCCAGGATATGATCCTCCAGCTTCACGTTTGGATGAGTGGATTGTGTCAAACGCTGGTGACAGTAGGTCAGTCCGTCACTCTTTCGAGCGAAAGCTTGAAAGTGAGCCTGTCTGTAAGCAAGGAGAGCCTGGAAGGGAAAGCAGGCGAGGAATTCACTCTCATCCCTGCCAACGACACCTATCTCGACTCATCCGTCCCGGTATGCTGTTGCTCTCGTGGAACCACGAGGAGCGACGATCGCCAGGGTCGCTACATTATTCCACTTTGATCCCAGGTGATGATGAACAGCGATCTCGTGGACGCGTATTCCTCGTGGGATTGTCGTGGGGATCATGGGTCCTGCGACACGGTGTGCTTGGCCGGGGCTTCTTCCGATCAGGACTACCTCGCCGCTGTCGCGAACGACCTTAACGCGAAATACAAAGAACGAAGGTCTCCATCTCCATCGGCATTTCATCTGAGGCCAGCGAATCGGGGTCGTTCCGTTCTCACGATTCGATTTTTGGCATCTTCATTAGGAGCGACGTCTACGAGGTGCGGATGATCGATGATGCCAATGGGAAACTGATTGGGCAGTCCTCGTTCAAGGATCCCCTGAAGATCATCTTGCCGGTGAAAGACACCAGCGTTCCACGCGACTTCCGCATCCACGTGAGTCTCCCATACCTACTTCCGATGCAAGATCCGAGCAAGTTCCTGCCGTTCAACTTATAATCACAGCAGAACCTGGGAAGTTTCTGTTACAGAGAAACTGTTATTTCTCTGGACTATGTGAGGAAGTCGACGAGCATCCATTAAAAATAATCAGGAGTCGGGAAGTAGTAGGGTACCTTTTCCTTACTTTTGTGATCATCTAACCTCGTTCCCTTGTGAACGTGTTGGTGAGAATGAAGTCTGAGGGTCATGTGGGATTTAAATATATACCGATTGCTGCAGTGTTTCTTCACGGAGAGGCCTGGCACGACTTGGGACAACGGGACCTGCACGTCCAGGAATGTCAAGTTGGATGGTGGGAACTACGTTGAATGCTCTTGCCCCCACCTCGGATACGTCAGGTACAATCTCCCATGTTTCTCTCTTTTTTTTTTTCCTCGCACACCTTTTTCACTACCTCGTCTTCTTCCAGCCTCTTTGTGGATTATCAACTGGACGTAGGGCAGGGACAGAACTCGACAACTTCAGGGTCTGGATCGACAACGACAGGATCGGGAACGACTGGGTCAGGGACGACCGGAACGGGAACGACCGGGTCAGGGACGACCGGAACGGGAACGACCGGAACGGGAACGACCGGATCGGGAACGACCGGAACGGGAACGACCGGATCGGGAACGACCGGAACGGGAACGACCGGATCGGGAACGACCGGAACGGGAACCACTGGGACAGGGACGACCGGTACAACCGGGACGACTGGGGACGACTGGGACGACCGGTACAACCGGGACGACCGGTACGAACAGGACGACCGGTACAACCGGGACGACCGGTACAACAGGTACGACCGGTACGACCAGGACCACCGGGACGATCGGGACTACACCACGCGTGCCAACGACGGCAAAACCCTTCGCAGTCACTCTCAAGTCATTGTCTTTCTCCCTTCGCTTTCTTTCACATTCAGACTGTTTTAAGAGCGAAACTCTATTTTCAGATTTCCGGATGCCAATTATGATACCGTGGTTGGGAAGAATCGGACCGTTTTCGAACAATCCATCCGGTCACAATTGGCAAGAACTTTGGGAGTGGACGTCTCTGTCATCTCTTCCATCAGTGCAAAACGAGGTAGAGACCCGTCGGACTTTTTCTATCGCCACTAGAGAGATGAAAACTAGAGGAATCGAAAAAGGACTCTCCACACCTCTTATTTAATTTTTTTTTCGTGGCAATCACACATCAGGGAGTGTGGTGCTGGATCTCGTGTTGTCGAATCAACAGGCGTACGACGCATTGAAAGAGAAGGCAAAGACAGGCATGAATTTCACTCTCCCCACTGGGGAAACGCTCACACTTCCTCCCCAGAATCTCGATGGCTCCATGATCGGTTGGCTTTTCTCAGTCCCTCCGAGAGTATCTCCAATCCATCGTTCATGCCGTGGATGCTGATTTTCTTAGGTTCCGAAAATTCGCCCAAGGATTACACGATCCCGTTGATCATCGGATGCGTGGCTGGAGTCGTGATCGTCCTCATCATCGTCTTCGTCATTTTTGCCATTGTGACCAAGAACAGGAAGAGGAGCCAGAAGATTCGACCCCTCGGTAACAGCGTAAGAGCCTCACTTCGTCTTCATCGGTGCTTCCTTGGAGCATGGAAAAGATGGCTAACGTGACTTGAACTTCTCACAGTTGAGTTCCGGACCCACGACTTATAGGACACCTCAGTTTGAACAGAGCTTGGAAGGCTTTGCCGGCTCCTACGGTGTATACCAGGTCAGGAATGGTTCTCGGTAAAGAAAAATACGGATGTTCTGTAATTGAGACGATTGAGAAAACTGCCTCGACATGCAGGAGACTCAGAGCTAACAAAGGAAAGCATAGACACTCGCACGAAGAAAAGAGTTCTTGTGTTTCTCCTCCCCGACTCGAGTCCTTGAGGCACTTTTATTTTTACTATGGAAATTAACCCTCACGGTTGCTGAGGTCGAGATACTATGTCAGAATTAAAACCAAAAACGGAAAGAAAGATCTAAATAAAATTTCAGCCATGTTTTGTTGCTTGATTCGCAATAGTGGTTAACCCAAGTGTTTACCTTGACAGTGTCAGGTTCTTGTTCGGATTCGATAGAAAGAAAGAGGAACCTTTTGGCTTGTTCGTCGTGGCTCGGTTCTCGAGCGTTTCCGATAGTCCTTGAAAAATCCATTTATGAGACGATCGGAGTCGGACAAACTAATTGCATCCTGCCTTCCTCCCTGACCGTAATGAGATCTCAAGATGTATGTGTCGTGAAAATATGTAGAAACGGGGTGACATGGTGAACTCTCCCCGATTCGGGACGATGACGGAGGAGGAGGTCTACGTGGAAAGGAAGGTCGCCGAGCACATGAAGACGGTGGACTGGAGGGCAACCGGGAATCGACGCAACAGCCTCAGTTTCCGCCGTCCCTCCGTCGTCCCTTCTCCCATGACTTATCATTCCCCAACTCCCACCAGCCCCAACAAGGAGCTCTAGGTGACTTCATCTCGTCCTTCTTCCTCACCCGTTCATTTTGGAATCAACTTCCACGAAAGTATTCTTTCTCGTCGATAGTGATGAGGAGACGATGCGGCGGAAACGGCGACACACCTGTCTGCATATCAACATATATCTTCGGGGTTCGGGGATCTCTCTTTCTCTCACTTTGTTCTCCCTCTCTTCTTATTCGGGTGCCTTCTGTTCTATTTCTTTATTTATCGACCTTTCATTTCCCGAATAAATTTTCTTGGGTTTTTGCTCCCCTGCATACAAATTGTGTGTTTGATTCTCAGCCCTTTGGTGACTCCTCTCACGATGTGCAAGGAGTCCCCTCATCTCCTGCTGCGTTCCATATTTAGCTGACACACAAGCATTTATTTTCTACCTGCCATATTTTCTTATCTATATACAGGGTGGGCCAAAAGTTTTTGCCCCTGAATAAAATTGTGAATATCTCCTGAACGGTTTGGGCTACAGAGTCGAAAAAAATACTAAAAGAAAGTTCATTTCATCCTCTTTCTGGAAATGTATGGTTTTGATTCCTACATTCATTTGGAGATGAGTCATGGCCGTTTGAAAAAAAATACCAAAAAAAAAAGTTGCCAAAACGAACCTATACCGTGCCGCCCATGGAAATCATCCTCAGCAGCTGGCTTCAAGGTTGTGCGTGCCGTCGTTTTCTTCTTTCTTAATTGCTCCCTACCTTCTTTCCCTTCTTCATAATGTGATCAAATTTTCATCCTTCACATTATGAAGAAGGGAAAGAAGGTAGGGAGCAATTAGGAAGGAAGAAAACGACGGCGCGCGACCTTGAAGCCAGCTACTGAGGATGATTTCCATGGGCGGCACGGAATAGGTTCGTTTTGGCAACTTTTTTTTCGTTATGTTTCTTTCAAACGGCCATGACTCATCTCCAAATGAATTTAGGAACCTAAAACCATGCATTTTCAGAAAGAGGATGAAATGAACTTTCTTTTAGTATTTTTTTCTACTCTGTAGCCCAAACCGTTCAGGAGATATTCTCATTTTTATTCAGGGGCAAAAACTTTTGGCCCACCCTGTACACATTTCACGGTCATCACAAGAATAACCTCGGATCTCCAACCAGCGTTATCGACTTGTGAAACAGTGATGAAACCCAAGCAACCCCTTGATCGCTACGCACGATCATGCATTAATATTTTCTCTCATTACATTTGAACGAGAATATCTCATAAACTAAGATGAACACTCTCTTCAAATTCCATGCGACTCTTCAGTATGTGTCCTTGAAACGTGCTCTATTATGAAATAGTGTTCCAAGGCCAAAGGCCATGAACGCTGCTTAAATATATATATATAGAAAACAATGCATTGAGTGGAAAGGTCTCTTTAAGAACTTTGAAATTATGTATTAAGCATTCATGTAGTTTGAATTGTTATTGAGATATCGAGGAAATTGTCCAGAGAGTTGTGTTGTGCAGAATAATGGGAAGATCAAAATATCTTGACTTTACTAAGAGTGTGAATATACTATGAGTGTGAATGAAAAAGTGTTTGACCTGTTTTTTTTATGTTGCCGAATTTCCATGCCAGATTGCAAGGGAATCCATAAGATGTCCTGCACAAGCTGTTCGTACGTTTCACATTGAATGACCCTATTGTTGTTTTATGTGATCAGAGAATGCTTGAAAATTGGTATCGTATGCAAACTCATTTGGGTAATATACGGGCCAATACAGTTTTGGCAAGGTTTGGGGTAAAAAAAAGCAGACATTTTGCGAATTTAAAGTTTTCACGAGTCGACACTGGGTCACGGGCAGAGAGGATGGATATTCGGATAGATATTTCACGGCACCACTGACGTATTCTTCGATTCGGAATACCTGATTAAGAAATTCCTTTAGGTGTTAATATTCAGAATTTGATTTATGTTGTTTAATGGGGCGATGAAATGAAGCCTCCTCAGTGTAAGCAGACCCACAACGGGACTGTAGTGGGCCTCCATGATTAATTTTGTTATAAGGGAGAAGGTCCCACTTGCTTGTTGAACACATTGAGCAAGTGTTCCTTCCGCCTCAGTGGCGGAAATGGGTCCTGTGTTCGAACTTGACCTTGCATTCTGCTGCGTATGGGAATCGAGATGGGGGGGGAGGGGTAAGAGAAGGAGAGAGGAGTCGGGAGGGGGGGGGGGGGAAGGATCGATTGGAGAGGGAGGGAGAAACGCAGTGGATGGCATGCTATCGCCAGAAGGATCAGCCGGCCCTTCTTTACCCCGTACATCGACCAGAGTACTGTGGGTCGGTGAATGGATCTAAGGGACCTAACACACCCGTGTGATGTGGGCTTGTGCGAGCTCAATCATGGCTTGGTGCAAACCTTTGGACGGTGTGTGAGAGAAGCATTCTTGGCCCAAGACCAGCGCAGAATCGGCTGCTGCAAAACTGCCACGTCCCCTTTACGTGAGAGAAGGGTAAAGAAGTTTAGGACTCATGGCTTCGTCTTCCCAGTTTCTCCCTCATCTGCTCCATTTCTCCTCCTCCGCACAATGAATTCCTATGGAAACTTCTCCCTCCATTGTACCCACCGGTGAGTGTTCATATATGCTCCGTACAATTGTTTAAATTGACCATAGTATGGGTTCTGCACTGATGGTGGAACGGCATTCGTCGATGGTGGTCACAATGCTTAAACTCGTACACGTGGATGAGATGATGAAAGCGTGCCGACCGTTTCATATATACGTTGCCATGATCTTCGATCCTTCACAACTGGCAGATTGGACTCTGAACGTCCTGACGATAAGAATGAGAAATGATTGCAAAGAGATCAGGTTCTGACACAACAGGTACCGTATCAGATTCAGAGGATAAAACACTATACAGGAAGGTTGAGGGAAGGAAGGGGGAGAGAAGAAAGAAGATAGGGATAGAGGAGAGGGTGAAGAGAGGAAGTCTCCAGTTGATCTCATCAGTGGGTTGACAAAGGGAGCTAGGGGTGATCATGTCATCCAATCCTGTGCAACAGGTCGAAGATGTCTTCATGAACATGTTACCTTCCTCAGATTCGCGTTCTCATTCCACGGAATTGAGCCGGATATCCACTGTGAATTCTGGAGCCTATCTTCTGGAGTTCCCTCAAAATTGTCCCGAGGATGTCAAGACGGGGAATGAAGTCCCTTCCCCTTGGAAGGAAAAGGCCGAAGATGAGATCGCGGCAGTCCAGATCCAGACCACTCCCAAGCGATTCCTTATTCTTGCACTTTTCATCCTCATTTCGATGACGAACGCTTTCCATTGGATCGAGTATTCCATCATCTCCAATGTAGTAGAAGATCATTATGGTGTGAGCAACGTGGCTGTGGAATGGACTTCCATGGTCTTCATGGTCTCCTATATTCCTCTAATTTTTCCAGCTACCTGGGCTCTGGAGACTTACGTGAGTCTGCATCAGCTTGTTGGCCTGTCATCTAATGCTGCCTAATCCCTAATATTCATTGTTTTCATAAAAATCCAGGGCTTTAGACGAGTTGTTCTCTTGGGTGCTCTTGGAACCTTCCTTGGTTCCTGGGTCAAGTCTGGAAGTCTCTTTAACGAGTACCTCCCTGCTACGACACGTTGGATTTTTGTTTTTGTCGGGCAATGCATAGTGGCCACTTCACAAGTCTTCACCCTGGGGATCCCTTCTCACTTGGCCGCTACTTGGTTTCCGGCCAACGAAGTTTCTTCTGCTGCATCCGCTGGAGTCTTCGGGAATCAGGTTTTTATTTTTGTTCTCACTGGATTTTCCGCCCATCATTCCACCCATAAGCGTAGCGTGTATGGAAAAAGTGGGGAAAGGGGGGGGGGGGCTCAGGAACTCTAGGACACTCAGGCATTTCATTCGTCCTTTTCTACTTATTTTTGGTTATTTTTCTGAAAAGTGGAGGGCATGTGCCCCCCCCCCCCCCCCCCCCCCCCCCCCCCCCCCCCCCCCCCCCCCNCCCCCACCCCCCCCCCCCCCCCCCCCCCCCCCCCCCCCCGACACTACGCCGCTGCTTCCACCTAACGTTACTTTCTTCTTTGAGTTTTTCTTTCCTCTTGCACAAAAGGAAGATGAGGGAAAGAGAAGCAAGGGCAATAGCTTGCGGGTCAAAGTCAATAATGGCATAATACTCTATTGAATTAAATGTTGACCTTTCTCGAGGCTTTTTAAATATTTCAAAATGTAAACTGCCTTCCTAAGTCTACATCCTTTCTAATCCAAAAACATGGACAAAAAACTGAGTTCGCACATTTTTCTTCAAAGGATGACTTTTCCTGCTAGATCTCTATTGTTTCTTGCGGTGTACTCCATTGGGGACCACGTTTTATCATATAAGCGATTAGTGGAGTGCGGAGCCAAGTTCTCTAACTCGAAATTTGAGATTCTCATTTGCATGCTCCACGTTCACTGGACTTCATTTGGGACTCGGGAATGTGAAGGAATGGGGTCCGGGATAAAATTCATTACTGCATGAGCCATGCTCATACTGATTCAGCGAACATGAGTATCCATTATGCCACAGTCTACTTCCAGTCCATCACTGCCAACCTTTGAAGTATGGACCTATCAAGTGGCAAAGAGTTAAAGATCAACTGTAAAATCCTACTATCATGGAAAATGCTCCTGTCAAAAATGTTAAACCTTAATACGTCTTCAGATGGGAATTGGAAAGATCTTCCAAACGATTGCACCCTCCAAGAGTAAGGTAGCAAATCCTCATTTTAAAATTTTTTCCAAGGGTTGGCTGCTGAAAGAGTGAATTAAAAATCTGGAGGTTTAGCGGATGGGGAGGGGGGGGGGGGGGAGAGAATGCCATGTTACAAGCATCCCCAGCATCAGAAGAAAATTTTGGTGACGGGTACCCGATCTAGTTCCTCTAAGAGTGAAGAATATGTACACACAGTATCGATGCTGATAATAATTTTGACTCAGAATTGAGAATCGACAGGGATGAAATAGATTGGAACCGATTTCTGGCTAGGATATTTGTCTTTGGAGCTTGTTCTCGTCTTATTCACGGGAGGGACAAAAGGAAAAGTACAGTCGAACTCGATTATAACGACCTCGGTTATAACGAAACCTCGGTTATAACGACGAAAGCGCCAGGTCCTTGCGTAGAGCCCATAAGGCACGTTACATTTTACCTCGGTTATAGCGAACTCGGTTATAACGAAACCTCGGTTATAACGAAGTCCATTGAAGGTCTCACAGACGAAATCGGCAACGTTTATGTCCCTAATCGGTCATTCTTAACTGAAATTTCCGTCATCGGAAAAATTGCGAGCCATAGCTTTATATTTCCTGGATTCGGCATTCCTTGAGAGTCATGTGGGTGTGGCTGGAGCAATGTTAGGGAGGGACAATCCCCAGTACCTAAATTCACCCTATCTTCAGTCGCCATTTGCATTTCTCGTTGACAACATGGCCAATGAAAAACGTGACGAAGCCATGCTGAAGTATAAAGTAGTTCAAGGTCCAAAGAAGTGCGAACATCACGATTAGTGGGTCAATCTTGAAACTGAAGCTAGTGTAGTATGACCAATGTAAACTGGAGTTGTAAAGTTATATAGCATCAATCTTGAAAACAGGAAAACGGAGTGCCAATAAAGGCAAGCTCGGTTATAACGACGGTTTTTACCTGGTCCCTTCGATGACATCATAACCGAGTTCGACTGTAGTCACAAACATATGTACATGTTTGGAGCATGCAAGGTGGAAGAGGAGGATGAGATGGAGTCTTTTGTTCTCTTGATTAGGTGTCAATGTCGAGACCATCTTCAAGGGCTCAGATGAAGAACATACAGTTCAATATTTGAAAAGTTTTTAGGAATACTTCCTCTGCCAGAAATGACTCTGGAAGGACATGGAATTTGATATTTCCAATTTTTCTCTGGCATAATGATTTTTATATAATAATATAACAGGCTGCAATAGGCCTACACTAAGTTTTATAGCGAATATTCGTGTGGTCAATATGTACTAGCACAAAGTGAAACAGGTGCCATCCTTCAAGCTTTTATCGTGCATTGGCTTTTGAGCGGAAACCTGGGTTTATGTTTTTTGCAACTGACTACTTCTGTGAAGGGGAGATACAAATGCGTTACCTTCTCACGAGGAAGGGTTCATTTATGCTTAATGAAAGAGTTACGCTGTGTATTTCACGCTGTGAAAGTGTCACTTTCCTTCACGTTCAGGAGTAAAGTGAAGAAACACAAGAATAGGTATGAAGTGTTCCTGAAATCAACGAGTGATATTTGCCGCCCTTGATTGTAGTATTATAAAATTGATTCATTTACGGCATGACAATCTTCATCTATGAGAAAACGCATTCACATTGATGAAAATATTGAAATAGGCTGAGTTTTGATGTTTCCGAAAGAATTTGCTGTTTTTGTACTTAACTTTTACCCCATTTCTCTCTCTTCTGCGAAACGTATGCGCGTATAGTTGGGGATCGCACTGGGATTCTTGATCCCTCCGATCGTGGTACCAGTGTCAGAGATCCGGTACGAGACGGAACTGGGTTTCCGCCAATTGACCCTTGGCCAGGCTTTCCTCATCTCTGCCATTTTCTTCGCATCCCTTTGGCGTGAGTGGATCCGAAGTTCAATTATTCATGCAATACTCCTTTCATCTCTGTCTTAATGCACGCTATTATTACGCTGTAGAATATATAGTGAGCCTTGTGAATGACGTACAGTGTTAAGAGACCAGCCAGAGAACCCGCCGTCCATCGCAGCTGCCCAGGCAAAGACGAGTCGAAGAAAGCTGAAATATCTCCCGTCTCTCTATGCCCTGATTTGTGACGTCAATTATGTCCTCCTCCTTATCACATACGGAATGAATGTTGGAGTCTTCTATGCCATCTCCACGCTCCTCAACCGGATCATTCTATTTTATTTTCCTGTAAGTCAATGTGGGAAAAAGCACTTGACCGCAGGGCTTCGATCTGGAAAAAGTCTTGAAAGTATTTCCTTTTTTTTTTGGATTTCAGGGAGCAGAGAAGGAGGCAGGACAAATAGGTCTCACCATCGTGATCTTGGGCATGGCTGGATCCATATTTGCTGGCTGGATACTGGATAAAACGCATGCTTTCAAGTACATTCACTACCGTACTCTAAAGTGTACACCATATTTTATAAGTGAAACCAGAGCATTTTGTCTGAGCCAACTTAAACTTATTCGTTTGCTAGAATCGTCTAATAACTATGGTATGCGGTTTCTTTTGTTGAAAACATTCTTTGATGAAAGTTGAATATTACAGGGCAGTGACTGTGATCGTGTACATCCTCTCCCTTGTGGGGATGATCTTGTTTTCTGGTGCTCTTCACTCTGAATACCTGAGCTTTGTCTACGTTGCCTCCGCTCTTCTCGGGTAGGCTGTCCTCCATATCAATAAGGAACTTCACTTGCTGTATTTTATCGCTGCACAATGGACGGCTCCTTCCGTTCCTCAGAATTTGGTTATTGAGCATAGGGATGTCCACTCCCCCCCCCCCCCTCCTCCAGAAAAGTACTCCATACGAGAGCAAAGAAAAACCTTATACGTTTTCTATAACCAACGTGAAAAAATGCAGCAACAAAAGCTTTCTATAAATGTGGTCATGATCATGAGGTGATGATGTAACGCCTGCTTTGTAATTCAGGTTTTCCATGACGGGATACCTTCCCCTTGGCTTTGAATTTGCGGTGGAGTTAACGTTCCCAGAGCCAGAAGGAACAACTTCCGGCCTTCTCAATTGCTCTGCTCAAATCTTTGGACTCCTCATCACCAACGTCGCCTCCTCAGTGAGCCCACTGGAAAAAATTCCTTCCTCTTCAGTACATAGCATGCGTTTCAAGTTATGGTGTTCTTTTGCTCTGTTAGATATTGAGTTCGTCGGGACCGATAATGACAGCAATCATGTTAAACGGAATCCTTGTGATTGGTGCGATCGCATCAATGTTCATCGCTTCGAATCTTCGGAGACAGGCTGCACAAAAGCATCAGGCCCCTCTTCTTCACGGCGATTCAAAGAGCTTCTCTTGAGGGGCGAAGAGCATTTCGTCACTCCACGCTTTCATCGTTTTGATCCTTGAACGCACCCTGAGCCCTGATGAAGTCTTTCCTCGTTAACAACGACAGTATATGCTGCTTTCCAAAAGTCATGCTGCACTTTTTCGCACTCAAATTGCTCAGCACTTGGAACACCGAAAACCTATAAAATGCTCACTCTCATTCTCTCATCTTTGCAAAGCTAGTGCAAGGGGCATGAACTGTGATGTCATTTCTGAGAATTTGCCTCGGAATCCTCCCGGTTGGATTTTTCAACAGGCATAGATGCCGAGAAACCCTAATGCATTTCCATGAGGATTTCTACCATTGGCGTATTACTAAGAGGCAGAGGGGGAGTGGCAATCCCTCTGGCAGCCTTTGAAAGTGCCTAGAGCTCCCTCTGAGGATTATTTTCCCTGATGAGAAATTTCGCTCAGGAGCCCCTTTCTCCTTCCACTGGCCTTGCCAGTCCCCTTTTTGTTATCTTGTCCCCCTTGCCTCATGAGCTAATACTGTACATGTGTTCTCGTGCTGTACGTCGTCAATCTCGTCATGCCTCAATTTATGCCTTTCAACGCGTGCTCCTTAGTGCTCGAAGGGAATGCACGCAAGTCAGAGCGCGTCCGCATTCTTGTATTGAGGGAGTAACTTGATGTGTGAGAGAAGGAAAAATGAAAGTGTGTTAACATTAGAAATCGGAAAGAACCCAATTCGATAGGTAAGCATTGCATTTTCCCTTTACCTGGGAAAGCATAAGGTAGTGCATACGCGTGGGGATGTCACTTAGCACTCAAACACAATTGGACAGGCGCAGATGCCCATGTCGCATATATCACTAAATTACACGAGTCAGACGCATGAGACGATAGGTGTGAAATGACCTTAATGGGATTTCATATTTCTTCGCAGAAAAATCGTACCACGCAGATTCCTATTAGAACTTCTGATAAATAGTTGAACTTTTCATGCCCTTAGATGTGACTTCTAAAGATGAGAGAACTAACTATTCTACTGTAGAATGTAAAACTCCCAGGGGTTAGAGCTCCCGTGCAGAGAAATCGCATAATAAAAAATGTTGCAAGGCCTTTGGACAGTAGTGACGAAAATAAAAAAAATACCCCATATATTTTCGCTACACCCTCAAAACCGAGTGAAATTTTGCACTGTTTCATGCATTATTTGACAGTGAAAAGATGAGCAAATTGTGTGATTGACTGCCTGAACTGAGTCTTTGTTTTGGTTCCAATTAGAAAATCTCAAAGTTAGTACCACTTAATCTGTGAAATGAGGCATAATTTGTCAGCACTGAATGTTTCATTTGAAAGGAGACAAAAAACAAAACCAGTGATTTTATTCTTAAAGAAAACACTACGGAATGAATAAAATCTTCCCGAAATGAATAAATAACGGTGCAACTTGTACCCACCTTGGATTTATTATATGAAAAAATCTTTCCAGAGCATTGGTACGACCAAGATTATTCAGTCGGGCACCAGGAGTATAAGCCCGACGATCTGAAGTTAAAAGTGGGAACACGGGAACACCCACCCACCTTTCTTTTGAGGCAAAGTGCAGATCGAATCCAACTCAGCCGCATCCGGCTTGGCCCCTCTCAACCCAACCTCTTCCAGCTTTGCTCAGCCTGTTCATGCGTCCGCACACCAAAAGGAACTTTCTTAACCCTTTCAGCGTAGAGGCCATTTAAAGATCTACTCCCCTTAAGTGCCGAAGCTAAATCTGAGAACATCGCAGGCTCTCGTTAGAAAAAATCATAACTCCTTCCTAAGAGAACAAAAAATATGATCACTTCTTAGTTACAGAGAACACCTTGTACGCTTATTTATTCGGTACATTGCAAAATCATTTCCTTATTACAGATGAATAACCAATGCCATCGAAATGACACGAAAACTTTCTGCACAGCTAAAACATACTTCGACCCTTAAGTTATTTTCTATGAGTAATTGAAAGTCCTATGGAAGATCCCAGCTGTCTGGACAAACCCTCCTATACTTCACAGACTAGATGTCACTACCATCTATTAGAATATATACGAACCCTCTGACCAAAACTGGTGCGTCGATCAGATCGATGGATTGTTTGTAATTAATTTGGCCAAACGTCGATTTTGAAGACACGCTTACGCTAACTCCTTGGGATTCGTATAACACCCCATCCGTAGAAGTCTCTTCACACCAACGCCGAGCCAGGATTGAGATGGCATTTCGAGTTTAGCTTTTTGCTACGCTGACGTAAAACATGGAAAAATCAGTGTCTCACTAACAAGACAAGGTGGATTCGAAGTTGAGGCATGGATTTCGTGTCACATCGAACAGTAACTCTAACATCGTATGGAAACGATACCGAGTACCACCTAGAGCGATGAGGTGCTGCTCTAACTGGGAAGAACATTTCTGGAAAAGATCGTCAAGCAAAACATTGTGATATACTGGATCCGAATCAGAAACTCACATGGTCTGTTGTTAAAGAGGCACCTGGACCTTCAATACACAAGGGCAAAGGCGTAGCATGCATGGAAAAATTGCGTGTGGGAGGGCAGGTACGGGAAACCGTGGGACACTGCTCTCTTGCATTTTCAGGCGTCTTTTCGATCTTCCTTTGCTTGAAAAGGGATTGGAAAGGGGCTTGTGTCCCCTCCGGCTCATTTCGACAAGCTAGTACAAGGCCAGAGGTCTGCAATACTTCTAGTGTACTCGAGATATACGGAGCGGGCAGAAAACCTCAGATGAAGAACCGCTTCTAAAGTGAGACACTTCTGACTTGATAGATATTCCCTTAATAAAAGTGCATACCAGGAGTATGCAATATAAATCAAATTTGATAACAATTGACTCATATTGAGTTTTTCTGGCTTGCACCTTTATTAAAAGAATATCTATAAAGGAGGAATGTCAAGATTAATATTGTTGCTGCGACGAAGATACAGATTCCTTTTTGCTACCATATACGTCTACCTTTCTTATTCTTGGTACTAAAAGAAAACGTTCATGTCCCGTCTAAGGGGCCATGCACACTGAATGTGAAGTGCTGAGTTGCGACCACTGCGACCGTCGCAGCTCGTCGCAATCGGTCGCAATACGCAATGAAATCGAACGATTCTATCTTGTCGTATCTTCGCAGTGGTTCGCGTAGCTATTGACTACAAGTTATGAAATCCTTGGATACTTAATTTGGCTGCTCTTTTGGTGGAATGACATCGGCGGTAGATGATGCCGATCATCACCATTGATTCTCCATGAACAACATACATAACTAGAGTAAATTAATCTTCAAGAAAGGTCTCGATATCAATTATATTCCCGATGATTTTCCATTGTTTCATTTCATGAATTCCAATGTAATTTTTTTAAGTTGAGAAGCTTTTGTGAGTTGTTGTTGAGAAGCTCGAGAGCAGACAAAAGAGTAGTCCAAATACTGTAACAAGGTCAGGTCTAACAATAAAGGTCATACCGCATCGTCCGTCGCGCAGGTTACCAAGGGACGCGTTCGGACCTTAGGCAGAGGGGTTCGTTCGAAAAGTATGTTACAGTCTCCTTCATTAGCTAGTCCTTGGAGATCAACCCAAGGAAACCCTACCAATGGACCCGCTATCCATATAGGGAGACAAATGGGGGAAGCGCAAAGCTCACATAGGACTTCAGGATGTCCAAGATGGAACCGGCAACGGCAATGTAGCATGGCTAATTACCCCATTGCTATTGAAATTAATCCAAAGGATGGGCAAATCAGCAACATAATCTCACACACCAGATCTTATCTCGAGTGACTTTTTTTCACATTTTCTTTTGCATTCCCGGAAACAATCCTCCTTTCCAGCGTTGAAACGTTCTGGAATCTTGGGAATTTTCTTCATATTCATGTTTTATTACATTGATACATGTGATATATTTAACGTATTCAATGGTCAATCACGTTTGGAAAGCATAATGTATTCGTTTTTACAAATAAAAAAAGAAGCCGCAAGAGATATTTGAAAATACTGTGGGAATTTTTTCGTACTTGGCAGGTACGGGGCATTTTTTTCAGAGGGAGATTTTTGGAGGCACCCCCTCACCTGATTTATCATCACCAGATTACTTCTTGTGGAGTCAAATAAAAGACCAGGCATAAGCGAACAATCCCCTCGCTCTGGAAGAGTTGTAACACAACATTACCAACATCACTGCCAAGTACGAAAAAATTCCCACAGTATTATATTTTCAAATATCTCTTGCGGCTTCTTTTTTTATTTGTAAAAACGAATACATTATGCTTTCCAAACGTGATTGACCATTGAATACGTTAAATATATCACATGTATCAATGTAATAAAACATGAATATGAAGAAAATTCCCAAGATTCCAGAACGTTTCAACGCTGGAAAGGAGGATTGTTTCCGGGAATGCAAAAGAAAATGTGAAAAAAAGTCACTCGAGATAAGATCTGGTGTGTGAGATTATGTTGCTGATTTGCCCATCCTTTGGATTAATTTCAATAGCAATGGGGTAATTAGCCATGCTACATTGCCGTTGCCGGTTCCATCTTGGACATCCTGAAGTCCTATGTGAGCTTTGCGCTTCCCCCATTTGTCTCCCTATATGGATAGCGGGTCCATTGGTAGGGTTTCCTTGGGTTGATCTCCAAGGACTAGCTAATGAAGGAGACTGTAACATACTTTTCGAACGAACCCCTCTGCCTAAGGTCCGAACGCGTCCCTTGGTAACCTGCGCGACGGACGATGCGGTATGACCTTTATTGTTAGACCTGACCTTGTTACAGTATTTGGACTACTCTTTTGTCTGCTCTCGAGCTTCTCAACAACAACTCACAAAAGCTTCTCAACTTAAAAAAATTACATTGGAATTCATGAAATGAAACAATGGAAAATCATCGGGAATATAATTGATATCGAGACCTTTCTTGAAGATTAATTTACTCTAGTTATGTATGTTGTTCATGGAGAATCAATGGTGATGATCGGCATCATCTACCGCCGATGTCATTCCACCAAAAGAGCAGCCAAATTAAGTATCCAAGGATTTCATAACTTGTAGTCAATAGCTACGCGAACCACTGCGAAGATACGACAAGATAGAATCGTTCGATTTCATTGCGTATTGCGACCGATTGCGACGAGCTGCGACGGTCGCAGTGGTCGCAACTCAGCACTTCACATTCAGTGTGCATGGCCCCTTAGACGGGACATGAACGTTTTCTTTTAGTACCAAGAATAAGAAAGGTAGACGTATATGGTAGCAAAAAGGAATCTGTATCTTCGTCGCAGCAACAATATTAATCTTGACATTCCTCCTTTATAGATATTCTTTTAATAAAGGTGCAAGCCAGAAAAACTCAATATGAGTCAATTGTTATCAAATTTGATTTNATGTCGAGTGTGGTAGGTTTTTCCAGTTTGATGACAGCAAGAGAACGAGAGGTAACCGACTTAAGTTGCGCAAACCGCAGGTGCGGCTCAGGTCGAGACAGGAATTCTTTACTTGCAGAGTGGTGAACGCATGGAATGCGTTAGATGACGAAGTAGTGGCTGCCCCTTCTGTGACTATCTTTAAGAAGAAACTAGATGCTTTCATGGACAGGCAAAAAGGTGGGGGGCAATGTTGACGTTAGGTACTAGACAGTAAGCAACTAGGATAGTAAAAAAAAAAATACATAAATATTTAGCTTTAAGAGGGTTAGGCCTACCCTAAAATTAAGGAACGCTCGACCTCGACACGTGATATCAAAATGGGCGAAATCGACTCTTGATGTCACTCTTGAGGGGGGAAGGGGCACATGTTCCTTGCCCCCCCCCCGACGCTACACCGCTGTTGGGGCGGGACTGCTCCACTTGACAAAAATCGCGGGAACATCATTGGCCCCTTACAAGCTCTTTCGCGATGAATCACACAGCCCATAAAGGCATTGGCGCTTCTGGTGGTGGTGTCGACTCCAGTGAGATCTATCAAATATCAGTTCACATAAGTAATCCGGAGGAAACGTCAGTTCCGCTGCTGTCGGTAGGTCCATAAGAAACAATGATTTGCATTAAAGGGGTATATGAACTCATCGCGAAAATACTGTATCATCTTTCTTCATCGAATTACCTGAGAATCATAGGTGGTGTACAGCTCCACCTGAACCCGCGAAAGAGACCTCATTCCTTTGAATGAGGTTTTTCTCTTCTCTTCCGCGGGTTCGCTGATTCCTTGGAATTGTTTTGCCAGATTAATATTCACACCCCAGAGAAAATCTAAACTTTTCACTGTTAGCAGTGGATGCGCTACATCCATGGGTTAATTATGATACCTAAAGAGTGAAATTAAAAATCTGACAGAAATGTGAAACTGAAACGCCTACGCCATCATGGTTTCATGGCGACCTTCAGGCCACAGTGTAGACTCGTGTCCTGTAACGTACAATACCCCGGGTCTTTACCTCTTTACCCTGCATTAAGGCTTCATAGGGATAGGCCTGCACCTTGTGAGAAATTACACTGCCTCCGTAATTAATGTTTGAATGCATTTGCAACCCTGGCTTTTGAGCTACGATGTAGGGCATGGTTAGAAAAACCTTGGTCAATAGTTGGTTACGTGGCTAATTTTGGCCTAAGCTCGAATTAGGTCCAGATGTAGGCCTTGGATTAGGCCATACAGTTAAATATAGTCCTTAGGTACGACCTATGCCTGTAATATAACAGGCCTTTATGAAAGATCAACTTTATGTTGGGGGACAGGCAGGTTTATATCTGGTTGTTTAGGCCAAGCGTTTGATGGGTAAAGGAATAGGTGTCTGTTGAATCTACTCTAAGTGGAGATGAGATTCCCAGTCCAATGTTGTCCTGTTAGGAAAGCTGAGCTAATAGAGAATGGTTCTGGTAGGACTTTGGTGGTGGGCTGTGTGACTATTCTTCAGGGATGTAATGATTTAGGCTGAGAGTATTTCTCTCAGCCTAAACTGAGCTTTATCTATTGGGCTGAGAGTAAAGGGTTTGGAGATTATCTTCAGGTACATATTTTACTTAATCAATATTCAATTGTGATGTGAATGATGTAGGCTTATGAGTTGTTCATAAAGCTTTCCAGGAAAGGTGAGGGAATACATCCGAATGTAATGCATTCCTCACATTTGCTTAGCAAGAAGCAAACATTTTGCTGCATGATTATTGTCTTATGTTAGACTTAAACAACCACTAGAATGGCAACAAATGTAACAGTAGATGCAATTTGTTGTAAATGTAGAATTAAAAAAATTCATGACTCTCCACTGCATTAAATTCCTGCTTGACCTCTAGAACATTGATGAGATCCTCTCATTCACCTCTTTCCCAGTGAATTAAGCTTTCATTGAGCTCTCAACATTTCTGAACCTTATGGGACCTCTTTCTATTGCCCTGAAATCCCCAATTTTTTTGCCAACTACCATAGTTGAACACAATGCTCTAAATGGGATTGCACTATTGCTATGCATAATGGAGGAATAATGAGTATGCTCTGATAGCCATGTAATGCTGACTGAAGCCTAGAACTCAGTCACATGTATTTGAGTTGACTGTGCATGCTTGGAAAATATCAATTAGTGCAATGATGATAAGCCCTATATTTTTACTTTCCCAATGCTCTGCATGCTAAACACATTCAGACTCCCATTGTTATGGCTTATGTGAAGGGGGTGCTGGAATGTTCTCCTCAACCTCTTCTTGTCCTCTTACCAAGCACTTTTATCATTCCATAGACATTCTTCATTTCTTCTTCAAATCTGACGTAATTTTATGATTGTGATTGAAATCTTTCACCTATGCTAGTCAAGTAGACTGGCATATCTAACTATTCTAACAATTTTCTGAATCTTCCACAACTCAAGTGATGTTGCTGGTTGGCCAGACCTTGCGTCATCAATGACTTGCCTTTTTTAACAGTATGTATGACGCAAATATCATTAAGCTACATATAGCATGAAACATTTGCCTGCTTTCATGCAAACTTTGATGGTTCTCCAAAATTTCAAATTTGGTTCATCAATTGCCTTTCTCATTTTTAACTGGGGTTTAAAGAGTCTCTTGCACATGCAAAAAATATATATGATGTTTTATCAAAAGTTATACCTGAGTATGTTCTTTTTTCTGAATTATCTAAACACGAATTTACAAAGGTATTAATCAATCAAAAAGGATCTGCATTTGTTAAGTATGCACTTTTCAGCTGTGCAGCAAATGCTTGACATACATGCACCTTTCCTGGCAAGGAGAGGGAAAATCTGTTGGGATACAGAATGCCATCATGTATGTCAATGTAAAGCCACAAAGAGACTCAGTCAGACATTTGGAATGATTGAGAAAGCTTAATATTGAAGCATACTTGGTCCCCACAATTGGCCCTTCCACAATGTTTTTCAATCTGATCTAGGAAATTAGCAAAATGCCTTTCCTACTTTTCCCCCTCGTCTTTTCCATTTTTGTACTTCCCAAAGTGAGGGATTTTCCTTTAATGGGTCAAATGACCTCATATATATTTATTTGAATGTCCATGGAACTTTGGGATGGATTTGTTATTGGTCCAGTCTAGCCATCTCCTAATTCTTGAGTTTTGATGAAAGAATATATGGTGAATGTTAAGAGTTCTTGGTCATGCTTCTTCAAATAATGCTACTCCTCTCTCCTGATTAAATTTACATCATGCCTAGGTATGGAAGAATTTCAGTGATAACATAGGATAGATCGATGGGTGACATGGTTTGCAGAGATGTTTCAAAAGAAGGGGAGATAACCACAACAGGCCATATCCAATGCCTGTAGTGTTTTTCTGAAGTTGAAAAATTTGGTTGGAAAAAAAACAATTCTGCTGACAAGACATGTCATAATAAGTAAGCCATAAAAGTAGTTCCTGGCACTATTAATGCATACTTGACCTTGGAGATCAATGAACTCAAGTTGAAGCATTGGGTAGTAATAATTTGAGAGTGCATAAACTTTTTGTCCAAAAAATAAATTTGCATGGAATCTGGAAGTTCTATCAACCTACTAGTGACCTTTCTCGTGTTCTATCATTTCTAACATTTCTTTGTTATGGAGTAGCCCTATTGGCAATTTCTTCATATGTATTGAGTGTTAAATATGCATTTAATTTAGTAGATATTTTTCATGCCCCATTATTTAATGTCTTTTACAGTTTTGCCTATTAGGAATCATGTCCTATTAGGTGAAACCATGTCAGGAGCATTAGATCCTGATACAAAGACTGTGAGTAGGTGATCTTCCCAGTGTGATTCTTCATGGACTGAATGTATACACTTGTAACTCTTGGAAATTGATAGAAGATTTTGCATCTAAACCAGTGCAAGAGGCTCATCCAGCATATTCCTGTTGGTGCTTGACTCCAGAGTGTCAGGTGTAATCTGAAATCATGGGGCCTAAGCCTGTTCCCAAAGGTGCCGCAGGTGCCAGTAAGAAGACTGAGCAAAAGAAGAAGGAGAAAGTCATAGAGGTAAGGAGACTTCTACAGGAGATTTGGTGAAGCTAAGTCAAGTCACTGCATACTGAGATATCCCAAACTTACATGCTCTATTTCTGAATTTTCATCAATGCATAATGCTCTGGTTTTAATTTGAGCATGGATGGATTAGGTTATGCAGGATCTGTTTTGCAGTGGCTCAAATTTTAAATGTATTTTTTTTTTAACTAGGTATTTATGGATTTTTCAAAATTTTATGAAGCATGCCAAGGTTGAATTGATCTGTTTAAATATGGGGCTCTGTTTATTGAAGTCATGACCATATGATGGGAAGTATGTTACATAACTAGAGTACATGTATGAATAAGAATCATTGATCTAGATGCCAAGGGGTGATCTGCTGGAATTGCAGTTGTTACCTACCCATCTGGAATATCACTGTATTCATTTCTGGTCCTTGGCTTTCAAGATGCTATTGGAATTGGATAGGCTACTATATGTGATTAATATTCATACCTATCTCTGGTTTACACCTGTTATTTTTTTCTCCCCTTTCCTCCTCTCTTATAATCACTTGCATTTTTATGTATTGAGAGCAGCTACTACCATTGCAAGGCAGGACAAATTCTTTTTAAAATAAGTTTCTAATTAGTGACAGTTTGCATTTTTCCTACCATTACAGGATAAGACATTTGGACTGAAGAACAAGAAAGGGGCAAAAATGCAAAAATTTGTGCAGCAAGTGCAGACTCAAGTCAAGTATGGTCATCAGAGTGCTCGCAAGATGGAGGAATTGAAAAAGCTACAGCAGGATAAGAAGGACATCAAAAAGATTGAGCTAAAGGAATTGAATGAGATATTCCGACCTGTCATCGTTCAGAAAGTGGAGAAAGGTCTGATTGTATTTGAGTATGTAATGTGTAATTGACAATTTTTCTTGTAAAAACACTAAGCAACTGTTTTACATAGTGGAAATGTGTTAGAGGGAGTAAAAAGGAGAAAAATAAAAACCTCAGAACTGCTGAGATGGTACTAAGTATCATTGTTGGTAACATTTTTTGTGACACCAACATGATAAAGGCAGGCAAAATTATAGCCTGGGTGCAGTTTGGAGGTTGGTGCTTTGATAGAATTGTGAGTATACCCTCAGAGATAGACTTAGAGATATTTCTGCATCCTTTGTTATGGTTATTATTAAAACTAGGGTTGTACCAATGGCTAGTGGGCCAATGACCAATTTTATCTCATACCCATCAGCTAGTGCCAATGCCAATTGCAGTCGATGGATTGAGAAGAAAGTACAGTAACATGAAATTTTATACTAATTCAATTAAACCTATTTGGAAGCCATGTGATACTTATCAGTGAGCCTCCTTAAAATGATGAAGCCCACTTTTAGGCCTATCCAGCCTATCTCTCTGTCTTCATTTTTGTCAATGGTTGGTTTGTTACCTATTACTGCTGTTAAGAGCATTTAACTACACATCTCTTGCAAAAGTATAACAAAGAAGGAGGTGCAATATTCTGGAAATTCCTGCACTTTCTTGATCTTTTTCTCTGCTGGTTCCTATACTCAGGTTGAAATATCATCTGATTGATATTTTTGTCTAGGAGAGGTCAGCAGGAGTGGCTTTCAATGTGACAGGATGGCTGATGCCAAGCTCATGTTCACATGCTTATGTAGTTTTTTTTTTCTTCTTGCCCCTCCATGGGTGTCAGCATTGGCAGCTTGTAACCTGGCTGATGGTGCAAGTGGTGCAACACTGGCTGCAGATACTTATGGTTGCCAATACATTGGTACAACCCTAATTAGAACTGATATTATCTTCAAATGCTGGTGAAAGGGTGATTTTGTTCCTTTCTACAGTTTTTAAAATGATGAATTCTGCTGTCATTGTAATATGAGGCAGTAGGCCTAACTAAATACAGGTCATGTGAGGATAAACCTACAAATTGCAGAGCATTAGAATTAAATTTAGCTGGAAGATTCTCTTGACATTGCAGATATTAATGTCATGTATGCAATAGTGTACTTTGATTCATGATTAATTGCATGTCCTCCATTGAATGAGTTTGCTATATGCCTACCTTATTTACATTGCAGGAACGGATCCCAAGTCTGTGGTGTGTGCATTTTTCAAACAAGGACAATGTACCAAAGGTGACCGATGTAAATTCTCACATGACTTGACTGCAGAAAGGAGAGCAGAGAAAAGAAGCATGTATGTGGATATGCGGGATGAAGGCACTGATGGGATGGATGATTGGGATGAAGAAAAGTTGAAAGAGGTGGTGGAAATGAAACATGGTGAAGCAGACCAGGGAAAAATAAAAACTGATATTGTGAGATCCTGTTATCCTTCTTTCACTCAGCCTGCCCTTTTCTTACAAAAGACATGGTTTTATTCTCCTTTAGTCCAGCAAGTTGCATATGTTCCCTGTAGATTGTATTTTTCTTACTTATGATGTTAATTGGGCAGGAAGTGCCCAAGGAATCATTCCATAGTGATTATGCTGCAAAATAAGACTTTCTTTTCTCTTCTCTACAGATCTGCAAGTATTTCCTTGACGCAGTGGAGAACAGCAAGTATGGTTGGTTTTGGGAGTGCCCTAATGGGATCAAGTGTCACTACAGGCATGCGCTTCCTCCTGGCTTTGTTCTTAAAAAGGTTCAGTGTCGGCTTTTTTTGCCATATTGTGCCTTTGGACATGTGATATGACATGTTGCCAGATGCTTCAGATTTCTCTGCACCAGTGTATTGTCTCTAGGAATGCACTCATAGGAGATGAGTTGGTTAATGGTCAATTATGATCCTGCCACCTGTGATGCTGCCCATTGTGAATAGATAAATGAAGAAACAACCAACAAATCGACTTAATGAGAATATTTGTTGCTGTATTTGATTTTTTCTAGTGTTATTCTTCAAGAGGTATATGACTCAATGAAGTTAATAGTATACATTTTAGGTTTGGAGGTAGAAGAACCCCATCTGCCAAATTTTAATCTAAAGTGGAGAAGAGGATATTGCACATTGGGTGACTAGTTTTGGAGTCACTCATGTGCTATTCACTGTATTTGTCACTATCCACCCAACAAGGGAGATAGTTTCATTCCGAGCTTTTGCATTTCTTTCATCAGGCTTGCCAGCGTTATGACATCAGTATTCAGGAAATGTTCTGCTGTTGTATCAAATAATATGAAGGTCTTATTGTCCCCTGAGTTTGTAATGGAGCTGTCAGAAGGTACAGTGTAGTTGTAATATGTGAAAAAATTTCACTTTATAAATGGTCAGGCAAAGAAAAGGTTTCACTATTCTATTCCCAAGTTCCAACTTCAGATTCCCAGGATTCTTTCTTGTCTTGTATCACTGCTAGTAGCATATCATCCTTTGAACTCAATTCTGCTTCATACCCATTGTATCACAACCATGTGGTTGTATGTTACTCTTAAGTTCATCCAACTTCTTCCCCATATTGCATTAGTATTTTAAAAAAACTTACTCCACTGAAGAATATTGAGCAAGAGGAAAATTTAGAAAGACATGAAGAGAATACAGTTTTGGAGGAAGAGGTGTGGGGGTTACCCTATTGGATGAATGCCACACCTAGCATTTGGGGCTGCCTCTTCCTGCAGCATTTACAGGTGTAATTTGTTTCATTGGGAAGGCCAGGGTATTCTTGCAGAAAGGGATTTTTAGTATTTGTAGTGTCAGCCTTGATCTGAGTTAGGCCTTGTATTGGTAGGTCTATATGGCATGTTCATAATGGTCCCTCCTTCAAGAGGTCTGAATTGAATTTGGTTAAAAGGCATATGTATGTTCAACTGCATATGAAATATGGTCTCTCTGTGATTGATTCATATAATTAGACCTTCATGCCTGAATTCCTCTGTCATTGAAAGGATGCTTGATGATTATATTGGCTACTGTTATATACTCTGCAGGATCGAAAGAAGGAGGGTCGAGACGATGGAAATGACTTAACCCTGGAGGATCTGATAGAAAAGGAAAGAGCAGCTCTGGGGAAGAACCTAACTAGGGTCACCTTAGAAACCTTTCTTGCTTGGAAGAAAAGGAAGCGACAAGAGAAGAAACAGGCTAAGTACAAAGATTCAGAGAGGAAGAAGGCTGAATACAAGGCTGGACGGAATACAGGCGTATGTGTTTCAGTATTGGCGTTGTGTCTAAAAAATGAGGAAGTTGTGATTTCCAATCTTTCATTATTGGCTGCCTTACAGATTTCAGGGAGGGAAATGTTCACATTTAACCCAGACCTGGCTGTTGGAGATCAAATGGATGAAGGAGATGAAGCATTTGATACCTCCAACCTTAAGAGTGAAGACACTCCTGATGATACTGATGCTGATGTGAAGGTAGGAAGAGTTCCTTATTTTCCTTTGTTACTTTTCGAGGTGTTTACATATGTTGGATGATTTATTTTCATATGTGATTAGGTGATGGAAATCAGGGATGATATGTGGGCCTTGGAAGAAGATGGTGAAGGTGAGTCCTTTGTTCTTCAGCATTTCAATAAGCATTCTCTTTGTTAACATTGTTAATTTTTCATTATTTATGTTTCTCCTGATGATATGCATCTGAAATTATGAGGCAATTAAGCTTCAGAAATGATGCTATGCAAAGGTAATAACCATCAATGCCATTACTGTATAATTGGAAGAATATCCTGAGATGTTACATACTTGGAGTTCTGTATGTTGGGTCTCATTTTCAAAAGAGGTTGGTTCTTTATTAATTGCTTGTAAATGTTACATTATTGTAATAAAAAAAAGATAAAGTCCTTTTCCCACTATTTTACTTGAACAAATCTCACACAAATAGGATGTACATAAGTATTAAAAAAAAAACATTTTATGAACTTAGACATTCACAAATGAAATAAAATAATCAGGTGAGTGTTTTCTTTTTTTTTTCTTCCCGTCTTTCATACAGCCAGTCCCAACATTTCCAGGATTTGATCATTATAGGAAATTGTATGCCCCATATGGGTCATGCCACCTCTTTCTTACCCCACCCAGACAGACTCTATTGTACTGTGCTCATCTCAATCCAATGGAGGATTTCCCTTTCAGAGACTTTGCCAATACATTGCAATGGCTGAAATAATCGTAGATACCCCCAGCCATCAATAGTGTTATCAATGTATCAACATATCATGACAGCCCTAATTCTAAGTTCATGAAAAATAGAAATATATGACTTTTTACAGCAAGATACATATCACAAAGCAATAACTAACCACCATACATAGAAACTATGGAAATATGTGCCCTAAAACAAAATGACACCTAAACTAACTAAATGATAATGTGATACTTGAAGGGATTCCTTATTAGAGGAATGGGGTAAGAGGAGCCAAGCATGATCTACATGTACAAGGCCACACTCTAATGCATGGGACCTATATGTTTCTACACTCTTCCTGTTCATGCATGATGTGCTGGCCAAGACTTACTTAAATGCTTGATGTCTACATTTGTGGGCAACCAAGTCTAGGAGCCATAGTAGCCAATAACATGTTGATGAAGAACTTGTAGTTGCTCCAGAGGTAAGAGTGTTCTCTCAGAAGTCCATTTCAGTGCTTTTACAATTCCAAAAATTGTTATATGCAAATTAAATTTATCTGTAAAAGATTGTCTTTATCCCTCAGTGATCTATAGAATGACTCATTCAATTGAATGCAACTGCTGAACAAATGAGCACAAGATAATAGTAGAAACATAAGTCTTGATTATATTCTTTTAGAGTGTGATTTTGGCAATATTCACATTTTTGTGGGCAGCATACATGATATTTTTCACTCCTCCCATAGCAATTACCTTGATATTTGGGGCATTTGTCTTATAAAAGTTAAACAATGACCGTGATTCCCCACCTATGGTCACCAGAGAATCCATATCCTCTTAATGCTCAAGCATCATAAGTTTAAAATTTGCCTTCTTGGAGATGATTGTCAGGTAAACTGGATCTCGTTTGACTTCTTTTTATATTAACTCTAGTTAAAGATAGTTATCTCTAGTTTGTAATTTGTTATAAAGGTAATGATTTTGCTAATTTGCTAGCTAGAGTTATTGAAGTGACATCTCCATTTAGTAAAAATGGAAATTGATGGGTTATAAATGTGACCTGCAGGCATTGTAAGAATATTGGAAGAGTACATGTACTAGAGAGTGGTATGGGATTGTAAAATGATTTTTTTTATGGTCACAAACAAAGATGCATTGCAACAAAGGGTTTAAGGTATCAGTTCTCATTTCATTCCTTCATTCATTCCTCATTATATTTTCTAACTTGCTTTTCATACCTTTGAGTATCCTTTCTGAAACAGATTCAGTCTTTCATTTATTTATAAAATGAAGAATATAGCTTTGTGCATTTATTTAATTTCAATTTAGAGAATTCCCTTTTTACATATCTTTTCAATATTATAGTTCTGTGCTGGTTTTGCAGCTCTTCAGGCAGAAGGCAAAAGCATTAAATCGCTCTCATATACCCACACCTGCAGAGTTTCACTTTTTTTGTCTTGCTAGCATCATTCCTACCTATCCAATTACTATTACTTGCTGTTACCTGTGAAACATTCATGTTTTCCTAATTGAGACCAATTGAATTCCATCCCGAGTGTGATGCAGTTGGAGTTTTGAACAGCCAAATTTCTAATCAATATTGCATGCGTCCCATTGCCCCCCCCCCCTCCGCTGCATGCCAGTGAGATTTCTTTAAATTTTGGATGCCTGGATATTGGATGAAGAATTGGGGGTGATTTTGAGCTCTGCACATGATGCAGATTGGCACAATTGGACTGACTCAGCCTGCAGATGGGGTGTTTTGCTCAGTTGTGAATCAAGTTTCCAGTCAGGAGAAGCAAATATTTCATCAGAGACATTGAGTTCTGCCGCTTAGAGGCCTAAGTGGGCTGCGGATTGGGTCAGGAAAAATAGACCCATGCAGGCCTTTGTGGACAGACAGATGTAGGACATCAGCTATTATTACATAGATTATTATTCCTATTTTTTTTTTAGGAGCCAAGGATTTATCAGGAGCACCTGTCTGGGAAATGGGTGGGACTAAGTCTTTTAAAAGCATTAATGGGAGAACCTGGAACCAAAGGCAGAATGAGGCACAAATGTGATTGGGACAAGAGCAGCATGCATGGGTGATGGTGGGTTTAGGTTTCCTTTAAGCACACTAATTAGGCATACATATTGTCTACCAGGCCCCAGTTTCCACCCAAGCAATAGATAATGAAGAAAATGCTAGGATATGAACTGTACATAGAAGAATGCAAAAAAGAATCAAGACACTGAAAAAAGATTTTTGCAAAACCTGTTCTCTCATGTGCATTCCTCCATTTCCCTTTATTTACCTGCAGGACTCCATAGAACTGCTTTATGTTATTACAGTATCTCATTCTCAGGAGCTGTCTTTCAAAGAAAATTTCATTTAAAACATATTGAAAAAGATTTTGCTTCTGGGAATGAAAGTCAGCTGTTTGCATTTCACTGATTTTATTTTTAACTGCAAAGTAGACTCTTGGATGAGAGTACATATACACCTTAAGTCATTGGAGTAAATATGGGTGAAGCTTTGCATGAGTGACATCATTTTCTGCTTAGACCATGGTCTGAGGTGTCCCAAACCATGAAAGAAGGCAGATTTTCATATATATCACTGGGAATCCACAAGTTAACTTGAGGTATTAGGTGGACTCTGTAGAGCATCATGTGTATTGCACAAGTTGCTTAACCTTATTGTATATGATTTAGATATTTCTTTGCATGATGACTTGAATTCCAATATCTGTCTGGAACTCTTTCATGTACCCTGCATTTTCATATTATGTTGTAGCTTCTGATGAAGAGGAACTTTCAAAGAGGAGTTGTGAGTCCCCAGAGGATGAAGAAAATGGTGAACCTCAGGCCAAGGCAACAGGTGGAGGTGATGACCAGGTGGATTCTGTTCCCATTGATGAGGACCTTTTTGCAGAAGATGATGAGGATCTTCAGGAACTTGAGGAGCAGATGGAAGGCATGGACCTGTCGCAGCAACCTCACAATGGCTACAGTGTGCTTCATTCATGAAGGTTCCTTCATGTCTGCCCTTCCTGCTTCTCCATGGCTTCTTTCTTTGGGTTGTGTTTTTCTTTTCCTTTGTTCTCCCACTCCTCCCCTCTTCATCTCCTTTCCCATCTTCTTTCTACTCTTTTCTTTCTCTTTCTCTTGGCCCTCCTTCAGCTCATTGACCTGCTCTTTTCCCCATATTTTAATAGTGTGAAGAAGCTGGAAGAAATATATGTAATTTGCAGATGTAGATGGGTAATTATTTTGCATTCTTTCAGACGGGTGTATTAGAAACCAACTATATGGTTTTCGCATCATTCTATGGATTCATTAGGGGTTTTTTTTTTTAACAGCCAGCTCATTCTTAATCGATTTGGCAGAGTGCTTGATACCAATGGGGAAAAACGTATAATTTGTAAAATCCTTGAATAGTTTTCAAGATGGCATGAAAATTCATTCCCCTGATAATGTCCTTTGTACCTTGGTTATCTTATAACTTCCCTCCTGATTGAGCTTGAGAGTTGAGAGATGTCATGGGCCGTCAAACTGCTGCACCCTAAACCAGGATCCTTACCAAGAAGCACAAAGAACAGAGTGAGACAAGGTGGCAAGAACAGCCCTCAAATTTTTAGGGGGAATCCCCCTTCTTCAGCATCTCCTTGAAGTATGAAAAAAAAGTTTTCTAAGCACTAAGAGTTTGCCGCTCATTTTAAGGCTCTCTTTCAGCCCTTTCCAAATATACCATGTTATTGGGGATATTCCCAATTCGTGGTGTCCAGTCATACAGAAGGAATGGTGACCTTTACCTTCATATATCAGGAATCACCTGTATGACCACACTGAAATAGGGTCCGCTGTTGTAGCTTTAATACATTAAAGTTAACTGGAATAGCAAATAGACCATCCAAATAGAGGATATCTCAATTACATCACAACTTCGGAAATGTAAGCGCACATCGATGTAGTTAAGTAAGCAGAAGATATATATAATTTTTCATTACACCAATTTCATTTTACGAACTCTGCGGGGCTGATAAATATTAGGAAACGGATTAGGCAATTTGAATTGACTGTCATCTTAGTTTTCCTATGCAAAGAGGTACAAATGAAGTATCAAAATCAGATTGTTTTCAAATTAATGTCAATGTATACATGAAGAGATAATGTAGACCTAACATGTTTTAACGTCAGTTCTTAATCTTCAGATTCCAAATGGCTAAGTATGAGCGAGATTCATCAACCGCGTCCGCATTTTAACTTTCGGTGAAGCGCGTGATGCAGGAGCAACTTTTATAAAGCCAAGTTGTTATACCGACATACTGAATCGAGATAGAAGTTTTGTGATGAAATGGAGCAGAAATTCTTATGACCGAGGCCACGTTCGGAGCAGAATATCCTAGTCAGAAGAGAGCGGGGACATCATCCAGGAGTCTCTAGGGCGACAACAAAGAAGCATAAGGCGGCTGCTTGAAGAAATTCAAGGATTCCCGGATGATATCCTTCCTCTCTTACGTGTATGACATGGATTGAGCTCGGGTCACTGCTCTCAACTTGTCTCTCAGTCACATTGATTTTAACGAAACTTTCGTCCAGTTGTTCCGGCATTACGCATTTCGCGGAAAATAATATGGATATGGTCAATAAGTTCTCAGAACCGTACTTTGCCATTTGGAATCTGAAATAAATGTAAAAGAACCGGAATTGAATCAGCTTTGCAGTGGTGGAGAGAGCGGGAACGGGAGGGAGATAAAAGGAACGAGTGAAGGGTTGTACCACAATCTTCGCTGAGCACGCAAGAAAAACGTGCGATTTTGTTAGAATGAACGAACGGATGAATTTACGAATATCGTTATGTGAAACAATAGGTCTTTTTGTGCGAGAATGAGGAAAATAATTACTGAGTTCCTTGAACGCATGCCGAGGAAAAATGAGGAATTTTCTAATATAAAAGATGTTCATACCTTTTACAGTCGGCTTTGATTACTGCTAAGATTGTGAAATTGAATCCCACTGAAGGTATCATCCAGGCCTCTTCAGATATCACGCCTGCCAGGTAGCGGTGCATGTCGACAGCGAACCGCGAACTCATTTGTATTTCTGCATGTCCACCTCCCAGGTTTTAGTCGAAGCTACTCTTGCTGCTCCGACCCACTTTCTAACGGCAAGAGAATAAAATTTGCACCATTCCCAAGCGGCTCACCTCTGATAGGCTGCACGCTACTTCTGTCAGATGGAAGTGATGGCCCTCCAACTGTGAAACTGACAGCCACACACCATCTATGTCACACTTCTAGCGAAAGGCCCTTTACTGGATGGGCTTTACTGTGAGTGGATGGGTAAAGGCCCTCGCCATATATTCTTCATAAAGAGCTGGCTACACCCTTTCATTGGGATTTTTACTCTCCGTTGCTAACAGTTCTTGTGTCTTTCATGAGTGTTGATTTCTTGAAATGTTCACTTCATCCCGCATCAACCGTCAACTCCTGAGATAAAAGAATCAATTTGGTGGGATTATAAAATTATTGGAAATTGATGCACCCCATAGTTTCTTGCACACTACAATTCACGCATAATAAACCGTACAAACAAAACTGATATTCTTGGTATTCATAATTATGACAGGGCTTTTTAAACATGAATTTTTTACCTGCTGCAGATGAAAAGTTCTAACTCCATAAGCTGAATCGAGTTTTGATTGAAATTTTCATTTTTATATTTTTCATTTTTCCGATATCAGAGGAACTTGACATGTAACTCTTTTTTAGCCAAAAAAATCATCGCAAAAGGATAGTGTTACAACATAGATGAGTTCCCAGTGCTTGTTTTCATCGATTTCATCTCAAATTCGTTTCCACTGTGAAAGCTTTTCGAAATCCTTTGATCCCATGGAAGCCCCTTGGGAGAACTGTTGCTCAGAACCTAGAAGCAACCTACTTTTTGAGTGACAATGAACGAATGCGTTTTTTTTTTGCGTCTGTTCGGCTGAACCTAGCAAAGTCTGATCGTGCGCGGAGGACTTGGATCGCACACGCACACATTCCTTCATTTAACGTGTCGCAGAGAAAAAGCTATTACGTTCTTAGCGACTAATTCTGTGAAAATTTCATGAAACCAATTGCACATGCTAGATGTGACAGCTTTTGAGTGGGTGACAGCCAGAGTGGAGTGTGGAACTTTTTCTGTGCCACCTGTTCTATCCCTGGAAAGAGTTAATTTTGACTTGTTTCAGTAAAGTACCTCAAAAACGGTAAAGAGGGAAGCTGACATTTTTACCTTAAATTCTCCTGCTTGAATCTCGGCAAGTTTCGACAGATGCGCATGCACGTTTTAAAATTGCCTGATCCTTTTGCCTATTCATCTAAAAAAAAGTTTTGCATTTTTGCCCAGTGAGGAGAGAATGTAATACTGCTAATTTAGGCAATATGTTGAAAAGACACTAAACAGTTTCTTTCTTTCTTTTTTTTTTACCGATCTATGAGAGCAAAAATGGCTGTCACGCGTTTCTGTTCGTTTCATGAAACGCCGTTCCTGTGTTTTATAAGGCACACTGTTGAAACTTGGAGAAAATCTAACTGCGCCCTCCTTCATGCGTATGTCAAATACAAAGCCCATGCAACATCCCATGTCGGATATTTATGCTCTGTTCGGCGACAATAATCTCAGACAGCCCTATGTAAAACCGGAAAAGAGATTACTCGAACACCCCTTCATCCGTGTACTCTGTTGAGCACATCGCTAAGATAAGCGGCTATAAGGTAAGATAATGATGATTGTAAGCGGCTCCACTTTAATGCCCCACCCGGAGTGTCGTTAATGCGGGAAACACCCTTGGTTGCATCAGCAAAGGGTTAGACAAGCCCCAAAATCAGATTTACGTGACTTTAAGGAGCCTCTTAGCCCTCTAAGCTCCAGATCTAGGTCGCTAATAAACCTTAATGCTCGTAAACATCTTCTAAGCACAGGCATGAATAATGAATGGAGCCAGACTGGTAAAGGCGAAGAGAGAGTGAACGTCAAAAGGAGCTCATGTTAAAAGCGTCCTATCGATTTTCGCCTTCAACTGAACAGAACTGACTGAACTGACAAAAGTTCAACTGAATAGGTTTGCAAGGGAAAATATGAATTTCTGCATTGCCTGACATCTTCCCCCCCCCCCCCAGTAATAACTGATAGCTGCAGCTTTTTCTTTTCTGTGGCACCGTCAGTGCGTGCAAGTATAAATCGAAGTTTCCGGACAGACGTAGAGATTACAAGAGACCATTTCGAGTGGTATACTGTCGGCAGGCCCAACATTTTTTAGTCTAATTGTCTCGTTTACTTGAAATATTCCCTTGAATGAATTGCGAGTTAGAATTTAGATGCTCTCGTCGTGGTTCAAATGTCTCCGCCGTGGTTCGAATGTCGCTGGATATAAAAGATCTTGAGTATTTGGATCGATACCTTCCGCTGCACATCCTCTCCATGGGGGTTTGAAATACCGGGGAAGGCAGGGGAGTGATGGTGGCGAAAGAGGGCTCGGGGAGAAGAATGGATAGACCCCTGCTACGTAATCGTGCCCGCTTCTCCTTCGTTGCCGTCTAGGCTTTCCACGTTGCAGGCTGCTCGTTCTCACGGATCCACACGATCCCATCACGGATTCCATTCCAGCACTAGTCGAGGACATCTCGTTCTGGCAGCTTCGTGCTCGAGAATACGTCCTCGGGAAGGCCCCAACTAGTTTAATTTTGTCCCAAACCCAAGTGGATATTGACCTGAGATTCTTGTAGAAATCAAACTTTCGAGTGGAAGCCCGATGCACGGGACATCCTCAATGTTTAGAGCTTCCTTTCGTTCCTCTACACGGAAGGAAGAAAAAAGGGGGGAAAGGTCCTGAGCGAGACAAAATGGAATCTTGGGATCTGTTCCCCATGAGCGATCCTTTTCCCATTTCGACAGGAGCGCATCCATTAATTTTACCTGAAATGAATGACCTGCTTCCTAGATCCATTTCCAGCAGATGGCCCCACTTTTCATCGTTTACATTCTGCAACGAGAAACGATCGACTTCCCAATCTAGATCTCTCGGATATTTCCTGGATCTTGGCCCCCCCCCCCCCTCTTGTTCATTTTGCACTGACTGGGAATCCAATAGATTCCCCGTCATAGTCTCAGAAGCGTTGCTTTTTACTTGTATCATCGCATCCTGCACCCTGCACAGTAGCAAGAAGCCATCTCATTATTCATCCGATGGCTTGATATGGGCGTG